CTGCACCGGTCCATATTATGCTCACTTTAAGTTACAGGCCCGTCGTTACTGCCTAAAACTTAGCACTGGTGTCAGAATCGCCGAATAAATTAAAGCACTCAAGTTTTTTGTTTTTTTTTTACCTAAAAACCGGAGTTTTATTGCTGCACTAAACAGAAACACAATTACGAAACTAGAAGGCATATGAGTGCTAACCTAGAACTGTTTATTTGCTGACAACGCATGCCATATATATACACACGCATAAACGGTTCAGAGGCAGACGAAAACATCAAAGAAAATATGCGAAAGAAGGGTGAGGGGAAGTGTGCAAATCTAGAATTCATCTTCTAGCAAACTGCGTAGCGGAAGGTGTTAGAAGATGAACCCTCACCGATTCGCCCAGTTTTCAATGCTCGGCACACATGTTTCTAGAATTCATGAACGATGCCCTACCAACGTGCAGTTGCGGCCACGTCTGTGTACACGTGTGTTCTGTGGTATGGCGCTCGAGCAGCCGGCTTTGTAGAGTGCCTCGATGCAATCGATGCGTGCATCGAGGCACCCTACGGCTTTGCTCTGCGGCGCGACACCCTTGCGGCCGTTGTGTGTTCTGAAGTCAGGTGCAGACCAGCTCTGCATGGGTGACAACGTTGGAAGGTGTGCTTGTCTAACCGAGTATCCGCGCTCGCTCAGGGTGCTTTCGTCATAAGACGAAGCGCATTTCGACTGATAACGCATGCCAGGGAACAGCTATACTTGCCCGAAATCGCCGCGCTGTGGCGATTTCCGGCAACATGGCTGCGCCCCTGAACTCCGCTTCGGTTGCAATTCGCTCTCGATGAGTGCTATGCGCGCGTACTTCGAGGAATGCACGGTGTCGACCACAAATGTGTCTACAGTCGCATCTCACGTGGAGAGTGAGAGATCGGCCGTATTTTTTCGTTAATAGAAAATTTGTTTTGATGTTTCGGCGGTAGCTTGTGACACTGATTATGGTCGCTTTCTGCAATGTGAAATCGTCATGCGAAGAGCATGCGTCGTAGCTGTCGTGTACTGTACACGCTTCTGGGGCACCCTGTCGCGCTTAAACCAAAGGCTGCGAAGAAGAATGCTCTTGTGCCTTCCTTATTGCCGCACAAGACATTAACGAATTCGGCAGTGGGTCGTCGACCAGCTTTTAATCTTCTATTCTCAACTTGTGCGTATGCACGCGATAGCTTTCATTCAAGCAACAATGACACTTTGTCGCCGACTTGCGGTCGCAGCCGTCGCGACGGAGCAAGTTTGTCGCGGCCGCTTCTTGCTGTCGCTAGAAAATCGCGTGCGGCTGGGCCTTAAGCGACTGTGTGTCGCGACCTACGATCTCGTTGGAGAGTAGACAGTTATAGTATACCGGGCTTGCCGAAATACCGGGCGTACTGTGATACTGGACTCGACGTGCGCATGCGCAGATACGTTCGTTACCCGCACCGCTTACCGTACGGGCGGTAATTTTCAGATTGGACGTTATTGTGGTAGCGTAGGTGTACGTAGCGTACGTCAACATGGCGGCGCTCTCGGACTCCCGCTTCGAAGTGATTTTGGCGTAGTTGTCGATTCACCTTGTTCGCAGCAAACGACTGTTCAAAGTGGCTTCGCTTGCCTTCAGTTAGCTTCGACGAACGAGTATTACGGAAAAGTTGGCATAGTTTTTAAGATAGCTTTCCATTTCCAGCGCTTCTAGGCCTAACTACAAGATCGATGTTACTGTATATGCTACCTTTATCTAAAGGTAGCATATACAGTAACTCTACAGTGGAGCGCACTGCTGCGCTACCTGTTGAACAAAGTTGAAGCTTCTGTTGTCGATTGAGCAGAGGCTTTGCTTGGAGAGCGCTCGCACACTGGGGAGCTGTTCTCGCGCTGTCCAATCCTTGGACGTGTCCGATTCGGCCTACCCCTGATTGGCTGGACCGCGCCGCCTGCTTCCGGTCTTTCTTTCGCAACGTCATTTTGACGCCGCGCTGTTTTCATGACTCTCGGCACAAGTGAGAAAGACTGAATGCGTTTCGCCGCAACGAGTGCTTTACCTCCAGGGATCCGCTTTAAGGTGCACGTTTCTGAGGCCGTGCACGGGCTTCAGTCACGTTAGCCCTTAAATTAGGTTTAACGCAGCCTCCCTTCTGATGCCCCTGAAATGTCGGTGCGCATTCCCTGCATCGCTTTTGAAACACCTGAGGACGTCCGTACGCACGTGCAGTTTATTTAAAAGTCCTGTTACTCTACATTTCGTCCACTTAGTTTCTTTTTACGTTATCAATGTGTCGGCGGGTTCGGTGCGCCGACGTGGTCAAGCGCGCCATGACGTCACAACTGACCGTTTTTTTGCGTTCTGATCGCGCTCTGGCGAATCGGACATGTCCAAGGATTGTACACCGCGAGAATAGCTCTCCTGGTCCGCTGCGCACGGCACGCTGTGCCCAGGAGATGAAATGAGCGGCTCGCTCCGCTGAGACCTCTCAGCTATTAGCGTCTATTATGAAAACCGCCAGAACAGCAGTAGCTAAGAATTTCCTTCCCTCGGTATGAACGCATAAAAACTAAAGACTGACCACGGGGACAACATGCGTGGTACCGAGAGATAAGTTTCGTCGACGCTTCTGTCAGTAAATAGCGAGGCAGCCCCGCCACCGTGTCCGCGGCTGCACGCGCGCGTATAGTGTAATGGCGGTCGTTTTGCAGCTTGTACCGCAGCAGTCGATCGTGTGTGTTCAGCAGAGTACGCCATACGATATGTTTAGGCGCGACGTGTGAACCTTCCATGGTTTTCTTTGGTCGTCCGAACGGCGGATGTGGCGGGAGGCTTCGGGAAATCGATGGAACTTCCGTGTGTCGCCACTGTCACGACCCTCTTCACGGCACTCTCTTGGCGACAAAACAAAGCGACGAGAACAACGTTGCCATGCTGCATCTTGAATACTAAAGGTTGATGATTTACCAAGGCTGATGATTTACCAAGTAACCCACGAGAAATCTTTGAACGCAGGTTTTACTAAGGATACCACTCCAACGGATTACTCGCCGGTTTGAACAAGGGCAATCCAAGATAGCGATTGCGCCAAACTTTGCCGTTAGACGACGCGCATTTCAAAATGACCCCTCCCCCCTCCGGTGGACCTGAAAGAAATTGAAAAGCGGACCTGAGACCTGTCATTTGTGCAGCAGAGTAAACATTAGGGGTGGGTGAATATATTAAAGCTCCGAATTAAGTTGACAAAATTCGATTCGATTTTTAAATAGCCAGTATTAGTATTTTCGAATGATTCGACGTGACGAATATCTAAAATGCGATAACAGCCAGTGGGAAAACTAGGGTTGCGTGATAGGGATAACGCTAACATCGCTGCGGGACGCTTTTCGTTAAAATTTTCACCAGTACACTTGTTGAGAAGTGAGCGCGCGTTTTTTTTTTTTTGTGAAATAGTATAGTTTTATACTGGCACTTGAAAAAAAAACGGGATAGAGGACAGCACTTTTTTTTTTAAGTAGAATCCAGTGCAGACGCTGAAGTCGGCCAGCTCCACCCGGTTACGCAGTGAGCCCCCGACAGTAACCGTTAAGCTTTTCACAACTTTTCGTCCTGAACGATGGCATAAACTTCTGCTTAGGTTAGTCGCGCGCGTCGTAAAACGTCCCGACTTGGACCCGCAAAACCCTTAAAGTGGCCCTGCAACACTTTAACATATTGCCCCGCCGCGGTGGTCTAGTGGCTAAGGTACTCGGCTGCTGACCCGCAGGGCGCGGGTTCGAATCCCGCCTGCGGCGGCTGCAGTTCCGATGGAGGCGGAAATGTTGTAGGCCCGTGTGCTCAGATTTGGGTGCACGTTAAAGAACCCCAGGTGGTCTAAATTTCCGGAGCCCTCCACTACGGCGTCTCTCATAATCATGTGGTGGTTTTGGGACGTTAAACCCCACATATCAATCAATCAAACACTTTAACATAATCAGAAAGCGCTGCCGATCTGTAGGAGAGGCTCCCGACAACACGTGAGCCAAATGTTATAGCGGAGCAGGCGACCTAGAATTCACGGTTGTTTATCACAGTCAACTAGAAATTGCTTTCTCTTCTCTCGATAAATCACGGAATAAGCCCAAAAGTCACTCGTAGTAAGCCCATCTATCAGCCATTGGCTGATTTGAACATGGCGCGCTCGGTCGTTACAGAGATTGCCGCGGGAGGCCGCGACTTGTCCACACGTGCGCGCACAGTCAGACTGGAAAAGCCAGTGTGGCGGTTTGAGCTTAGTTGGTATGACATGACAATAGTCTTCTTCTTGTCCCTTTGTCGTCGTTCTGGTCTCGCGCAAAAAAAAAGCCGCGCATGCGAAGAAAGAAAAAAAAACGCTCAACGCCACGAGGCGCGCGTGACGTTTTTCCTTGCACCTGCCATCCCTCCCTGCTTAGCTTCCAGCGCTTTCGTCGAGACGAGAGAATGCAATCGCAGCATGCAACGAATCTTTCTAACTCCCCTCGCACTGGACAGATCTTTAAAATTTGTTGTGCTGTTTAATTCGTGAGGCAACAAGCTCTTCCAGAGAGTTATTTCATGATTACTTCAAAAAGTGTTTCAGGGCCGCTTCAAGATACGTGATACATTATTTTAAGATAAGCGATACAAGATTGAATGTATCGGAAATACAGATACAATCATTTCGCGAGACGTATCGTAATACGGATACAAGATACCCAAAAAGTATCGAAGATGTTTTCCAAGATGCCTGTATACCTTCGATACTACCTAGCCCTGACGTTACTGTTGTATGGAGTTACCGTTGTAGTGCTCCTTGTATCTTTTTCCTTAGCAGCTACTCACCTCGTCATGGGCTTGAGACCATGCTGAGTATACTTTATTAGTTTTATCTGTCTTTAAATTTCATTAAAATCTTTTGTATGCGATTTGATATTCAGCATTTTTTTCCATTTTTCGGCCCTATTGGACTCTAACTACGTTATGAAATTTCACCATGCGCACACACGTAGCAAATATTGAAGCCTCTTTATTCGGATAATGAACTGTGAAAGAATGCTTGACTTTCGGGCTACAGCTTCGGTCTTTTACTTCTTTACCTCACCACAACCTGCACCTGTTCGTCCTGTTCATTGTCGAATTCGCCCGACACTTGAACGTTTCCGAGAAGGCAGGCATGTTGGACATTGGAAGGTTGACTCTGGAAAAAAATAAAGAGAAAAAAAAGCAAGCAAGTATGGTTTGTATGAACGTGATGTCGCCGGCATGCTGCGCTCGCTTGAATGTGTTTTCCGATATCTGCATGATGGGACGTCTGCGATTATGTGGGATATTTTGTTATCGATTTTTTTTCACGCAAGCTACATGTCATGAATAAGCATAAGTACGTATTTTCAATCGATTGCACACGTATTCAATGCAAAGTATGAGAAGAAAACTTTTATACGATAAACCACATCAATGTTCATTAGCTGTATAACGATCATAATCTGGCAGTTGATCTGCAAATTTGTTGTTTAAGAGCTCTCGCAAGGATCCACCAAGGGCCTTTCAAATTCGAATATAGTATTTGAGCAAAAAATAAAGCCTCATGCGATAGGTCAAGCACCCTTCGTCTCATACCTGGTGTTCTCACCTGTGTCGCATCGTGTCCGTCTTGGAACGTAAAATTAAGTTCTTGCAGAAGCGATTCGGAGATTATACACTCTTTGCTAAATGTACGCGCTAACTTCGATCCGATTTTGCTTATGCGACAGTGTCGTCTTCTTTTTGTTCTCATTTTTTTACATTGTATTGCTTCTTCCTTTCTTCTTTCTTTCTTCTTTCTTTTCTTTCCCCTGTCAATGTTTATGCTGTAATACAGGTCCTGTCAATGCATTTTTTTTTCTGAGCCCCTGCGTATGCTGGTTCGGCACACACCTTTCTCAGATTCAGGTTTTTACAGACAACAATACAACTAGTTTTTTTTTTTTTTGGGGGGGGGGGGGCTGGACGTCGTGTTTCTTCTAATTTTTTTATGTGGTGTGTCTGCGTTCATTTAGCGCACCTTTTGAGGTGAATGAGCACCAATAGGTTCACATTATAGATATAATTGATTATATTCTGCACGTGCTAATATACTAGAGTCTTAAAACCTAGAGTTTGAGGGAACGCCGTCTGGTCGGGAGAAGGCATCGCAAAAGAAGAAACGCCGAACCGCAATAAAAACACGTTAACGTTTTGTTTTAAGGTGTTTTTTTTTTGTTGTGGTTGGTGTTTCTTCGGGCATTTGCGATGACCATAGTCCTCGAACGACAAAGCTTTGCCACGTTTATCGCCTGGTACGGGCTGGACACTGTGTCCGTCTCGTCTATTTCGTCAATGTGACATGGCGTACCGGACAAACAAAATTAAATAAGGACACATGCCCGCACTTGCGGAACGAACGCAAACTTACACGCACGCATGCACACACACGTACGCACTTTTGCGCTTCTCCACATCTGCAGTGGCCACCTTGCAAGGTGAACCGTCTTACCTGTACTGACTTGGGCTGTGCGGGTCATACTGAATCAGTATCTTCAGGTACTCGGGACGGGCAACGCTGCACCATGCCTGTAAGTAAGCAAGCCGTCGATAGTATTTTTACTACGCGTGGGTCGATGGTAAAGTTGCTTTTAGTAAACTATCTATGCCGCCCTATTCACGTACCATTCCATTCGCGATGAAGAACAGCTGCTTTCCGGAAAACTTTTCCAGGCCTTTCAAGCGGGTGTCAGTTTTGCATTCGTCCTTCAGAAGTTTGCTGTACGCCTGAAAGAGGCAGAACGTTAACTTCATTCGAGAATGTTAAACAGGACAGTATTAACTACCTTTCACTACCTCTGAAAGCACCCTGGTCTCTCGACGCTCCCAGTTGAACGAATGTTTTATTGTATGAAAACTGCGTACACGTACTTGCCTCTCACTCTCCCTTCCGCCGCATGATACGCAATAATAATTGCACGCAGCACAACACCCATCCAAGTGCCTGTGTTCTCCCCCCTTGCCCTGACTTGCCTTCCTTGTGAAAAAAAAAGTTTTCCTGGCCAACGTCATTCATGACAATAATGCTGTGCTTTTACCTTGTGCTACAATTGTCAAAAAAAATAATAGCTTGGGCTAAGGTGCGTAGATTTAATGGTCGTTGGGTCAGGTGACGTATATATGCCAGTCTATAGCGCAGAGAATTTCTTCTGAAGGCACACACAGGCATGGAACCTCTATTGCTGCTGGTGCGTATACGCAGGTACCTATATATGCGCGCAGTGCGATGGCGGGCAAGGAACCGCCACCAAATTCGGTCGAGCGATTTCCGATGCACACGCACATTGTGCACTTCGGGCAGATATTAATGAAAGTCGCTCGTCCGATGACATCTGCTTCATCGACCGGGGCTGCTGATGGTTTAGATATTGCTCAGGAAATCGGATATAACGCTTGTTCGACATTTAGGTCTGACTGCTATTTGGAGAATAGCAAGCTCCGAGCTCCCAAATACGAGGACAGCAAAGCGCTTGTATGAAAATTCAGGAGCCAGCTTAACAGGTTAGTCGATGCAAGCTTCGCTTGAGAAGTTCATATTGTGCGTAAACATTAAAAAAAAAAAAACGTGTGTCTCGTTGAAGGGTGCTTACCTCGAATACCAGCCGAAGACCACCGTTGTCAGCGATGTTTTCGCCCAGTGTGTTTATGCCGTTGAGCTGTTTAGAAAGTGAAGACAAAGCTTTTTTTTTTATTCATAGGATTGAAAATTGGTTGGTAGTGCGAAATTAAGGACAGGTCTTCATAATGGTATAAAGGGTTCAGGATGTAATACCCCTGTTACACGTGGCTACTTAAGTGCACTTTGAGCGAGTGTATACTTACGCTTACGAATTGTCATTTTGGCTGTTCGCTGCTACACGAGAGAGCGAAGTGTCCTTTAGAAATGATGGCAGTGGCGATCGACGGATTTGTGGCACGACGTATATTTGTTATTTTTTGCGGCCGTTTCTCATCTTCGGACCACGTTGTCTTCGTTGAAGTAGCATCTGTGGCACATACCATCTGAAATGACTAGGGAACAGCTCAGCTACACATGTGCAAATGTACCTAAAAGTAAACAACGTGACGGACGCCGCCACATGTGCTGCCGCATCCTCCTAGCGGACGTGGCCGCAAACAGCCCGACGGTGAAAGTATCGAGGTTATTGTTGTATTTTATGACTTCATTTATGCATAACAGTATCGACCATGACAAAAGCGATGGTTTAAATTTAAACATAGTATGAGTGCCGCTTTAGGCAACATCGTCTTTCTGTACAAGCCACTGGTACCACATACTTCATCGCAGCCGTCCCAGTAAGTAAGGTTGAGAAACGCACTTGCCGACAAGTGTACTTTGCAGTGAGTGACAGTAAACTTGCTCGTGTAACAGCGCGCAAATGACACTCGCGGCTGAGTGTGCTCGCTCAATGTGCACTTAAGTTTCTACGTGTGACAGAGGTGTAAGGCCCAATGATTAGCATCACGTGATTGCATGAATAGTGAAGAAGTCCGCTACGCACACGAATAAAGAAAAGTACGTACGCTTGTATACAGCAAGTTAGTGTACATTCGCCTGTTATTGCGTGTTTCATGGCTGCTTATCTTGTATATTTGTATGTACTTTCTTGCGAAACCAATTGTATAGAGCCACTGGTAGAAGATTTGACGCCGTAGCCGTGGGGTTCCGTGCAAAGCAGAGGTTCGTCATTACTCAACCGGCTAAGTTGGAGGACTCGGGTTTGATTCCCAGCCTCGTCGGTCGCATCTTGATTGGGGCGAAATGCAACAACGCCTGTATGCATGTGTTTTAGTGTATGTGTCAGGAGCCCATGAGGGCATGTATAATCTCGAGTCCTTTACCACAGCGTGCCTCATAATTTATGGTTCGGAAATTCAAACCCTGAACAACACTACACTCTAAGGATAAAACAAACAAACAAAAATAAACAAGGTCCTTTGACTACTTCCGACGAATCCTGACTTGTCGCATACATGACTTTCCCTCAACATACACTTGGACTCTATTTGGGGTGTTGTGTCACCCAGAAGAGAGTTCACGTGACTCTTTGCTAGGAGCAATGCGTGGCAAGTCAAAAATCGTCGAAAAAAAAAAACGTAACACAGTCCTTCGTTTTACTTCTTCGGAAAGCAGTGTCATAACTTGCCCGAGTGAAATCAACGGTAACGCATACGACTGCGCGCCAAATTTGTGTGAAAACAAAAAAAAGTACTACTTCGGAGTGTCTCACCGTCATGTTTGCTTCTATATCGGTGATGTTGCCGTACTGGTCCTCGAAGCACTTCGCCCTTTTTCTGAACTCGGCCCGTGTGTCGTTTGACCACCACTGTTTCAAAGCGCCGTTCGCATCGAATTGACTTCCTGTGGTATATAGCGCAGCATAAGTTATAGAGAAGACAAAAACAAAAGCAAGAAAGAAAATAAATCCACGCATATCTGCAAAGTGAATGCTTGATGATAGGGCGAAGCAGTGGGCATCCGATCATGAGGCGGGGCGTTCTATTTTCCTTTGGTCAACAGCCTTTTGTTTTCTTTTTGATAGTCTTTAGTTCTGTCATATGTTTTGATTGATGGGCGGTTAAATGATGGTGTTATTCCATTGTTGTGTCTTTTTTATTGTGTTTGTCCTGGTTAACAAGCTTTGATAACCTTCTTGTCGTTCACAGATGTTTAGGTGTCTACTTATGCTCTAGACGTCGGGCGGTGGTTCGTGGACGGAGGGACATTGTGCGGTGTTAAGGCGCTTCGCCCCTAAAATAATAAATGGAGAGTTAGTAATGGTTAAAGTCGCAAAGCACACGTAGGTTCGTTAGGAGTGTGTGTATTATCGAGCAGTTCACCGCGGGAAGCTAAGACAAACATTTTGCTTGCAAAGCAAGCTTCTTAAAGAGTTTCGTCCATTTTCTGTACGCGAATTTCGAAAAAAAAAACATTGGCGACACGTTTCAATCTCGGTTTATAAGGACATTTTCGTCAATTGCGAAGCTTTTCTTTTTTTTTTTTGTCTGGGCAGTTCACACTACATCACTCGTATCGCTCCATACTGTTCTACTCGTTAACTTCACACGTTTCTTAGGGTTGCGAGTTGGCTCATACTTGAAAGAGGGAAAACTACTCAAAATTCGGACATACACAAGATGAATGAGGCACGACACGAGCGCTGACATCGCTCATTAAGCCATTAGGGCAAACAAGATGTCTTAATGGGCCACTAAAAAGCATCATTATACTGCATTCGGAACTATTAGTGGCCATCGAGGCCTCCTTTTCAGGGATTGTGGATGCAAGAGAATCTTTTTTCGAAACAACAGTATCAGCAAGAAACAAAATCATCAGACTAAGAGAAACAATTGAAGGGGCACAAGTAGAAAGTATCAAAACTAATTGTGTCAGCATGCCATCTGTAACCCTATCTCAAAAAATAATTTTATTTTTCGAACCGTAGGTGATGTGTACAGCACATGTGTGTGGCTCCCTGCGGTGACGCGCATCGACGGGTGATATTATCATCATATCATCTTATTTCTTTCTATTTTTTTGTCTCGGTATATATGTTCTCACATGTCAAAAAATAAACTCAGTTGTAAGTCAGCGCTCGTGTAGTGTCTTCTTCATCTTATGTCTGTCTGAATTTAGCGCTGTTTTTCCCTCTTCAAATATTGTCATCATCATCAGCCCGACTATACGCTTCCCCTCTCGCATTTGTCTTTCATTAGAATCCATTAGTACTTCCTTGTACTCGCTTCATTGTGCTTTCTTCTAAAAAAAAGAGTTTAGACAGCTTTCATATTTTAATCACCGAGTGATGTATACGACATGTCACGACATTCACATGGCCAGCCCGTGCAGCGTCTGGCCACGTTTTATGGCACGCTCATAAATAAGTTCTGTCATACGATTCGGGTCCTGACGACCTGGCCTGCCTGTGAAAATCGGCTGACATCGTAATACGAGATCAGTGCCTCGGACATCGCTGAATCGCCCGTCTATCGTAAAGTGACCATTTAGGAAGGGTAACACCCCCAATTCAAGACTGCCTGAATCCAAAGATTTTTTAGGGGCGAAGCTCCTTAGGGCGTGGGCTGTGCGTCCCCTGTAGCCTGTACGTAGCCACCTCTAGTTTAGTTCTTGCAGTATTCACTAGATGGCGGTACCGTCCCCTGTATGTAGCCACCTCTAGTTTAGTTCTTGCAGTGTTCACTAGATGGCGGTACCGTCTCCTGTATGTAGCCACCTCTCGTTTAGTTCTTGTAGTGTTTACTAGATGGTGGTACTTGTAGCTGATGATGAAAAGATGCAAGATGTTACAAACTAGAAAGCGGTACTTGTAGTTGATGAAAGACGCGAGATCTTATAAAATAGGAATGATGTCACATATGGCGCGTGTCATTGGTTGAAGGCAATCGTTCGATTTAGTGCGGCGACGTACGCTAGGGGGAGTGATGTAATAAAATCGAGTGGGCAAAATGTACAGAGGATTCATGGTTTACCAGGTTTACCTCCGGAGCTTCGCCCACTCATCATCATTCACTTCGTGGATATGGCGGAATTTTTTTTCTTCTCTTAGTGTGCTCACCTGTGTCGTCGAAACCGTGAGTCATTTCGTGTCCAACCACCATGCCAATGGCTCCAAAGTTTAGGGAACTGCACGTAAAGGTTAACGAGTTATCAAAAGCAACGGCTCAACTTAAATCGAATTTTATATCTTCGTTATTGGGAATTAAACGTTAGGCGAAAAACGAGTCCACTAATGACCGTCAATGAACGCCCTTATAATAATTAGTTACGCAACAAGTTACATCCGAGTGAAAGTTGTGATGTTTCAGTTTCAGTTTATTTAGCAATCTTTTTCAGCCATCATGTTAAAATACAATGATTCAATGTTTTCATACAATGGCAATGGTGAACTCAAAAGAAAATGTAAATCAGATTAAAAAGTGAAAAAGATGCAGGGACAGGAATTAAAAGCTGCTAAAAAGCAGCTTGACGGGATTCCTGACCCTGAGCAGATTGGCCGCAGAATCGTGGTGATGTAAGAAATGAATAAAATACGAGCAAGTAAAACAGAAAAAGTACAAGAATGCACAACACAAGCAAGTAAAATATCAACAAATTTAGCAGCAAACTTCAACTGCAAACATAATGTAAAATCGCAAACACTGAAAGAATGCGGCATAATATGGGAGAACAAAGTTATTGTTATTACTTGAGAAAGATAATGAAAATGTATTCCGATAAGTTTAGCATAGTTATAACGTTATCTCAGCTTTCACGTACCGAAACCGAGATATGATCGAGATACCCCGCAGCGGATGTCTCCGGGAATTTCGACCATCTCGTGTTCATCTCGTGTTCATATATATGAATACTGTTCGTCTAATAGCATCGTGAGTAAGTAGTTGCGCGCTGAGTGCATTTTTATCGTTCTCTTTTCACCGCGCTTTTCACGAGATTTAATTACTTCCTCATCTTATGCATATTACGGTATACCTTCAGACTTACCGGGGCAGACCGTGTTCGTAGAAGACCCCTTGGAGTATTGCCGAAGGGAACACTGCGCAAAGATCCTTCATTGTTTAAGTCGTGCAAGCTTTCGGTTCAAATATGAAAAGTAATATTGTCAGTAAAGTATCACAGCGTCTCCATTCGTTATTCGGAAGACTGCCCTTTGGCTTAACGAACGTACTTCAGAACAACAGAGGCTCATCACACATAAACAAACAAGTTACACTCGTGCATAAAGTTTAACAAGAATAGGTGGAACGGTCTCTCTATCCATCCTTGTGAGCCCGGAGAGTGACCATCATGCATGGTGACCGGTTGTTCTGAGATGACGAAAATGGGTTGGTGCTAGCCGCTGGCACGACCAGAATCATATGGTGATTTTGGGACGTTAAACCCCACATATCAATCAATCAATCGACCAGACCAAGCGTGTCTCGTCGGCTGCTATTGTAGGAGCGTCAAAAAAGTGGCACGTGATTCCATACGTTGCGTGCTATAGTGTCGCGGTGTTGTGCTTCTTTAACGCCATCTAGTCTGGGGCGGGCGTGCGCTTAAACTTGAACTCTACAATAGAGCTACAATGAAAAAGTGAGCGCATTCTACATCACAACTTAAGCGTACCCAACCTACTATAATGAAGCCTAAATGTTACGTAATGTCAAGCATACCTAAGTAGTATGGTTTAGCATTTACTGTGCCAACTTCTATCGAGATTGAGACACGATGATCGACCCGCATTGTATCCACCATTTGTCGCACCCGCGTAATTATTTTCATTTTCATAACCGACACGCTTAATGAAATTTCTTGGTACCCACTCAGAGTGCCACTTTTTAAATGAAAAGTTTAGGTGCAGGTCAGCCACCTCGGCTTTGTGGACGAAGTTGTTAGCGTAGCGTACTTTATTGACTTTAGCATCCCAAATGTGAAAAAGGTTGAACGCACCCATTTGGTTTGAACTTGGGCTGTAGAAAGCGTTGACGACTGCAGGACCTACAATCCATCTAGAGTGGGTCACGCAAAGAAAAACGAAGGGATCATTAGTACAACTTCGTGTTTGATTACAGCTAATGTAGGAGAGCAAATATATTTCCGGCATATATAGGCACCATGAGAATGTCAATATGGGCTTGTTAGTATTGGATTATCCTTGATGGTAGCACAGATCAAAAGGCATAGACTACAGGGCCGAGTGTGTTTTTTTCTGTTGATTCATCCTGTAGAATAGAGATCACTCGTGGCAGCTAAAAATTCGAGGACCCAGAAGAGGATACAGTGTGTGTGTGTGTGTGTGTGTGTGTGTGTGTGTGTGTGTGTGTGTGTGTGTGTGTGTGTGTGTGTGTGTGTGTGTGTGTGTGTGTGTGTGTCCTTACTGCGTCCTATCGTTTTGTAGTTTCCAGTGTGAATGTTTACTCATTATTTCTTCAGTTAACTATCTGGCTATGTTATATCAATTACGTTAGTTAGTTATACTGGAATCTAATTGGGTTCGTGGGCAGGAACGCGTTAGACTGGACAAATTGTGGGATAGGACAAAGCGTGCACGTGACCACGAGCTTGGAGAAATGGACAACACAAACGCTTTTACTTCTCGCATAGGTGCGTGCGCGTTACTTGGCAGGTCTTTCTGTATTGCTGAGCGCACACGCCTATGTTTTCCATCTACGTACTTTTGAATAACAGAGCGAATTTTAGCCACGCTGCAGCAGAACAATGGTACTGTGGTACTGCGTTTGTGTTGTATATATATATATATATATATATATATATATATATATATATATATATATATATATATTTTAGGAATGAAGATCGATGGTCCGGTGTAATAGATGATTGAAGAGAAGGACGCACGTACGAAATGTGGATTTATTAACGTTTCGGCTGGTGGACCAGCCTTCGTCAGAATGATTGCAAATGTTACAGGCACTTAATATATAGGTAGGCGGATGTATACACAGGAACAGTGCACCACTGCCAGATGCTAAGCGCAATGAAAGCAAGGTACATGCGCATGGTGGACACAACACCGCACTGTGACTCACAATCACAAAAACAAAGATATCGCGTAAAAAATAATAATAATCGCGTCACTGGCCAGTGAGATACCACGAGCACAGAACATATAAGAAATATAGGCAATGCGCCGAGCGTACATAGCACAAGATTGACTCTACAAAATAATAATAATAACGATACATAATGCACTTTTACGAAGGATTAAACATCCATTCACACACACACGAACGAGATAAGTTTGTCGCCGCATGAGGCCGAGCACGCACTGTATTCTACGCAATTATGCTAGCCAGTTTGCCCGCGTTTTCGTTTAAACCCCTAGAAGCCGTTCCGAACTTATGAATTAGAAATGATTCGCGTATCTCACGCTTATAATGCGACGTGAATCCCGCCTCCAATACAGTTGCCCTAAATGATTCAAAACTATGTCCGGTAGTGGCGACGTGCCTTGAAATCGGCAGATGAGGCATGGAGTGCACATGGGCCTTGTGATTGTTGAAACGGTAGCGAAATGAATTTTCAGTATGACCGATATACTGCAAGTGACAAAAGGAGCACTCAAGCAGGTAAACCGCATTATCTGTGTCACAGGTGAAATCGCCACGAATTTTTAAAGTGAAATTGTTTGCGGAGCTTTTAGCCACAGCGGTGGTTGTCATCTGTTTGCATAACTTGCATCGAGGTTTGCGGCATGGATGGCAACCAACGTGTGAAACAATTACATTTCACACGTTGGTTGCCATCCATGCCGCAAACCTCGATGCAAGTTATGCAAACAGATGACAACCACCGCTGTGGCTAAAAGCTCCGCAAACAATTTCACTTTAAAAATTCGTGGCGATTTCACCTGTGACACAGATAATGCGGTTTACCTGCTTGAGTGCTCCTTTTGTCACTTGCAGTATATCGGTCATACTGAAAATTCATTTCGCTACCGTTTCAACAATCACAAGGCCCATGTGCACTCCATGCCTCATCTGCCGATTTCAAGGCACGTCGCCACTACCGGACATAGTTTTGAATCATTTAGGGCAACTGTATTGGAGGCGGGATTCACGTCGCATTATAAGCGTGAGATACGCGAATCATTTCTAATTCATAAGTTCGGAACGGCTTCTAGGGGTTTAAACGAAAACGCGGGCAAACTGGCTAGCATAATTGCGTAGAATACAGTGCGTGCTCGGCCTCATGCGGCGACAAACTTATCTCGTTCGTGTGTGTGTGAATGGATGTTTAATCCTTCGTAAAAGTGCATTATGTATCGTTATTATTATTATTTTGTAGAGTCAATCTTGTGCTATGTACGCTCGGCGCATTGCCTATATTTCTTATATGTTCTGTGCTCGTGGTATCTCACTGGCCAGTGACGCGATTATTATTATTTTTTACGCGATATCTTTGTTTTTGTGATTGTGAGTCACAGTGCGGTGTTGTGTCCACCATGCGCATGTACCTTGCTTTCATTGCGCTTAGCATCTGGCAGTGGTGCACTGTTCCTGTGTATACATCCGCCTACCTATATATTAAGTGCCTGTAACATTTGCAATCATTCTGACGAAGGCTGGTCCACCAGCCGAAACGTTAATAAATCCACATTTCGTACGTGCGTCCTTCTCTTCAATCATATATATATATATATATATATATATATATATATATATATATATATATATATATATATATATATATATATATATATATATATATATATATATATATATATATATATATAGTTACATTTTCCCGTGTCAGTGTCGACACACCTATGCCTCTTGTATTCGGTGAATCCCTACCACCAAGCTGAACATTCAGATGCGTTTAAATGCAGTCAGATCTATTTTTGCTGAATGGCTCATGATCACATTGATAGCAAAATAATTACTGTAGCTTTTATGGTTTTGGAAAAAAAGGCCCGTAAGCTTCGCCTAAAATACATAGTGGGCGTAGGGCTTACACTGTATTGTGATTCTATGTAGTAGGTCACACTATGCTCCATAGCCGCGCAAAAAAAAAAAAACCCATAAAGTTAGTTATTTTGAGACCAGTACACGGGAAGTTATCAGCACAAATTCTTCCATATTTGCTTACCTTTTAATTGCTCAGGCCGACCTTTGCGCTTTCTAATAAATCACCGCTGCTTACGTTTTTTTTTATCCAGCATATTTTATAGAGGTCACAGCAATGTTCAACAAGGGTAACATGCAAAAAAAAAAAATGTGTTGATCTCTTACGCGGTCTTGTCGTACGTATCTCGCAGTTTCATCAGACTCCTTTTCCCGCTGTTTACGGACACCACGTAGACCACTTCCAAATAAGATGTGTTCAGTTGTAGTTGCGGAACCTGAAACAGTAAGACGCTCAAATCTGCTTTCATGAAAGAGCAAAGTAGTGAGCGTAGCGAGCGTTCGGGGACGCTTCGGACTTCAGAACTACGGCGTTGTTGTACTAAGATTCTATGGTGCGTGTGTGCCGGTATTACATAAAAGGATACAAAGCTTGCTGTTCACATTCCCTTAAGTTTTTGCTCGTGTTCTGAGCACGAATAGTTTAGAGAGAGAGAGAACATATGGAGGAAGGCTGGGAGGTTAACTAGGGCTGAGCCCCAGTAGGCTACCCTGCACTGGGTAAAGGGAGAGGGGGAAGGAAAGCTATAGAGTGGGGATGAATAGTTTACGTACTCATGGAAGTCACGGGATAAAAGTGACGCCAATATGTAAGAGCGTTGGTGGCGCCATCTTCGGAGGTTAAATTTAGCTAGACTGCGTGAAGCATGGCCTCCGAGATTGCGGGCGCATGGCGCGGTTCCCTCCGGCCGTCTCAAATCGCCGTGCTCCCCGCCCCAGCAAAACCAACGTGTATCGCCTCGCGCGCCCGGCTACCGCGAGAGGGCGCGTTCACTGTGGATTGCGATGCCAAAAGATTCAGTCGGATAGAAATGGGGGGAAGGTCGCACTTCCTGGGGCGCTTGGCTTCGCGGTTGATGGAAGCATTAACTGGTCAGCAGTAGGTATTACTAAGCAGCGGCTGGAGTATTGGTGGAGGAAAAGCAGAGAAGTCGATAAAATAACATCCCAGCCAAGAGTAGCGGCTGGGCAAAATTAAAAAGACAATCCGAGTTGAGGGACAGAATTTCAACTCGAACTATTAAGGTAGGCTAGATGGCGCATGCCGTCACCCCGATTCAAAGGGGAGGCCTTTAATCATCATCATCATCATCAGCGAAGTCGGCGGAGACCGCTGCAGAAAGCAGAGTGCACAGGATTCTAGCGTGCGCATGCTTTTTTTTTTTCGCGTACTAGGAAAAAATCAAAGCCAGAAGAATCTTCTGGCTGCATACGGTGCGCGAGAGATAAGTAGGAACTGACAGCCTAGTCCGCGTGCTAAATCAGACTGCCGCATTATACGCACACGTGGTACACGCGAATGAATGGGTTCCTTTCTCATTCCATTCGTGGGAATACCATTGATTTACATTGTAACGCTGTTTTGAGAATTGTTGCAGGCGTCCCAACGTAATCACAGCTTGCGCAGCGTGATGTGGTTTTATTGCTTTTTTTTTCTTTTATTTATCCCTCGCGCACCGAGCATCGTTTCGGTCCTCGTTGAGTAATCGAACTGAGCTCGCGTTATCTACAGAGGGGACCTGTTGTGGTGAGCACGGCGGGATCGCAGGTGTGCCAGTCCAAGAAGCGTAGAACGCTTCTAAAAAGCAACAGAACCACGTTGCAGTGCAGCTGCGATTACATCACCGCGTCTTCGGAGATTCAAACTGCGTTACAATGAATAGCAGCGTCGGTTGAATCGAGGGAAAGAAAAAAAAAGAGCCCCATTTGGTAAAGTGTAACGCGTCAGCGTAGGTTGCGGCACTTTTCTGACTTCTCTTGCGTTTTGGGTTGTCATTTTTGTTTTCTTTTTAACCAGTGCTCCCCCCCCCCCTCCCATTCTATACAGCCCGCAAACTTCGAAGTATAGTAAGTTTTCACCACACGCGAATCTATTCTAGGGTCGTCGCAATTATACTCTAAAAGGGGCAGTGCAAATCTACAGCGAACAACAACAAAAAAAAGAAATCATTTGAAATATATGCGCCCCAGGATCGATTTTGCTTCTCGTACACCTTGACGCGACATTTCAAAAATGAGCGCGAGGTTATATAAAAGCACAAAACCATACCTTTTCTCGCCACATGCAAGCTGCGCGCCAACTGTGCGGCAGCCTTTTCGATCCTCTGTGAGAGCGCCGCAGTGCGGAAAAAAGAGTGGGCCACGCCCACCTGAAAAGACGCCACGCGCCCGCCATCGCGGAGGCCATGCATGAAGATACGGCAGGCTTTGTGCATCTAGCATGTGGCCGAAATAGTATACTGTACTATACCATACGATACTATATATTATACTATAAGAACGAATTATCATCAGTTCACCTGACTTTATGTGTCTGTTGCAAGACGACCTGCTAAACAAATACTTTCAAAAAAGCAATTTGAGCGCTAACACGCTACACATTCACGCACACACACCCAGGCATCAAACACGCACAGCGCTGGGTGTGTATGTGCGTGAATGTGTAGTATACCAACTAAATGGTATACCAACTATACCAACAACAAGTTTTTTTACAAGCAAATACTAGTTCACGCGAAAGTGTCATACATTAAAAGACCACTTTTCGTTTCGCATATAGTGTGTGTGTGTGTGTGTGTGTGTGTGTGTGTGTGTGTGTGTGTGTGTTTTCCGCGCTTCTTTCTGGGTTTTTTCTTGCACCTTAGACAAGCACAGCATGATCCAATTGTGTTTTTCAAGGAAGCTATTCCATCCTGTTCTACCTTCCTTGTTTGGTTGGAGAGGTTGAGATTTACGTCACCTCGGCTGCTCCGTTTATATAAGTATTCAGTATTGCAACGAAACAGTATGCTAATAATTACAGAAAAAATCGTATTTCGTAATATATTAGTAGAATGCAATTTATCCGTATTTGTCTGCCCTAGCTGAATGCAACAAATTTATTGCGAACAGTAGCAAGGATTTCATACTTTCAAATAGATAGTTTTTGACTTGAACAAGTAGCGCACCATCTTATAATTATGATAGTGCGGTGTAATAATGTTCTCGCTATATATATTTTGAACTCCCTCAGTTTTTTTCCCCTCTGTAAAGTAGCACACTGCTTCTTCTAGATCGGTTGGCATACCTGCCTCTTTTTTCCCTCCTGTTCCTTCCCACACCAGTTTTCACTGATTCATGCGCGAAGCATCTTTCTTTCAATTAGCTATTAATTGGTATACCTAGCGATCGGTGTTTTCTAATTTTATGTAGTGCTGCAGAGATACGTACGTGTCCGATAGATAACTTGAATTGAAAACCTCGTTTATTAAAATTTAAACAGCACGAAAGTTGTCATTATTACTGAAATTTGTGAGGGTAAACTTACGAATTTGTAAAGGCCTTCAAGATATGTGATGTTCACTATTTTCTCTGAGTACCCAATCCTCGCCTCCATTTTTCTCAACTGAAAAAGAAAATACACAAAAATGATGGAGCTTGCAATTGGCCGCGAAAGACACGATACAAGTGAAGCTATAAGTAAGGGGCTTTATCAGTTAATTTTAAGTCACTTGGTTAAGGCTATCAAACTTGGCTTAGGCAAGGCTATTTTTCAGGTTTTTGTGACTCTTACATCGACCATATCCTTCTCTTCATGTGAGCCGCTTCGTTGTTCAATAGGCATGGGTCGGATCGCCGCCGCTGATTTCGTTGCAGCTCTGCAGCACGTCGAGGCCTCGTGATAGGCTGAACCTTCTTCAGGTGTATACTGTTCTTCTTCGGGCGACCAGCGGGCGACCCTATATATATAGCTACATTCAGTGACCCAGGGCTGCAAACTACCTCGATACGACCGGCGTGGCTCTTCTACAGTGATCGCGAAAACATGCACATGGGCGGTCGGTCTGTTTATTACATATTCAAGAATGTAAGCTGTTGCTAGGCAACTCTTTTTATTTATACTTGGTGTGCTTACAATTAGTAATTTCGCTATAACTGCGACGTGGTGGCGCACAGCTGTGGAGTAGGCAGTTGCTAGGCAACGGTGCGACGAGGTTTCTTGCGGAAAACAGCCGCTCTTAGGCTGCTCTGAGCAGCTTCGCAGTTAAAAAATTAAAGGGGCCCTGAAACAAATTTTGAACTAACCATTGAATGGAGTCGCTATAAGAGCTTATTGCCTCACGAGTTCAACGCCACAAAAATTTTAAGAATCCGTCCAGTACGAGCGGAATTACGAAGACTTGTCGCACGCTGCGATTCGAGTGCGATTCAAGTGCGATTCGCCGCTCTCAAGTACGAAGACTATAGACAAATCCGCGTATTACCCATCATTCCCGTGGTCGCTGAACGATCGCAGCGCCAGAGTCTCCTCTAGTTTTGGGATTGTTAGGAAACTCTATGCGTTATAGGGGCTTTATGCGCGCTCCCCGCAGTTGTTCGATCCCTAGTTCGATCCCTAGCGGAGAGATCGAGAAGCTGCACCAATACGGCAACTTCGACAAGCAGACCCGAAGCTGAGAGCGCGAAAGCATTCAATAAGCATTGTAGTTTCACGGCTGATTCACGGTATGCTGCATGGTATAGGTGCTATAAGCCTCATCGTCAGCATTCACTTCGTCTATAAGCGTGTTTTTTTTTCCTTTTTTTAGCAGTTACCCGGATGTTCTCAATTTGTTCTCGTAACAATGCCCGGATGTTCTTTTGTAAGTACCGGGATAACGCTTCCGCTTTTGGCTCAAGGTCTCTTGAGTGACTACGACAAAGGGAGCAAGAAGTACTTCATGCTCGACATGTTTTCTAGCACGGCCGTACTTCCCTCTATCGAAGGCTCGCTCAGCTTCTATGCTTGAGAGCGTTGGTTCGATTTCCCGAACACAGAAAACCACATTTCTTCGGGGGTAGAAATCGGCGATTGCCTGTGTACGCAGCAATGAGCACACGTTGACGTTCTGTAGGATACTTTTCACAAAGGAATCTATATATTTGAAAAAAAACAACTTTCCATAGCACTTCAATGTGATTAAGGCATAATACATGGCAAGTGATATAAAAAGTAATAGGCCCAACACTGAAATATACGTCATATCTACTTTGAGAAAACTGACACCCGCACCTTTTCCTCTGCCGTGGCTCTCGTTGTAGGGTCCATCCAGGTTATATTTTGTAACGTTTCGTTAAAGACCGACATGAGCCTTCGGGCGAGGTCCTCGACCTGGAACGAAGCATGTCCTGCATAAATGGTAATATCGTCTTATGACTCAGTTACGTTGTGTAGTTGCTGATATTATTACGAACTTGTCTCGGGCTTCGGATGGCTATCCCACGCGCTCTGCCGATAAGTTCTGAGCTGAGGTTTAAGGAAATATTTCAGGTCAGGCGCAGGGATAGCTATAGGGACGTATTGCCGGTGCTTTTGTGGACGGATTCAACTGGCTGGACCCGTCCGCAAGGTAGCCGCACAGAGTATAAATTTTACGTTATCCAGTCGCACCTCAGTAATTAATTGGTTGTCAGCATCAAACTCATGCCACACAGATGTAACGCTTGCAAGGCTAAGAGCAGGAAACACACATAGTACACATTCATACCTTCTGTCCGCTGAGGATCCAGCCATGTGCGACCAATGAGGTGAGCCATCAATCGATGCTCATCGGTAGTGATTCACTTCTCAAACATGAGTCATTATTCGCGTTTTTAAAAGATGTTCTTCTTTTTTTCTCGTAATTTACCCTGGTAACACGCAGCACGGCCTCTTAAACAGTGGTCGCTGCTGCGGTATCTGCATTATTGAAAGCACCTGTCTCGCCGTCCTTGCAGACAAGGGCGTTGCACAGTCATTCGCGCTCGTTAAACTCTTCAATGCTTTATCATCAAAACAGAGTGCCGATCATTTTCACTGTACACATTTCAAGTTGCTCTGATGATTTTACTACCTTTATGTCTCACGTGCCTTTAGGGGCGAGGAATTTTAGGCTCCCTGTACAGCCAGTTACCCTAACTGCCCTTTTCTTTTATCTCATGTACTGGCGCTCTTAGGCACTTGCTCAGATAAACACCACATATCATCAAGCTCGGGATGGCATCGCAAATACATATTTCTCTAGTTCAGTTGAGGAACGTCGCTTCACGTGGAGTGGTACGGGAAAGTTGGCAGTTCAATTCACCCGGCTTCCAGTGTGTTGGGTATTTGTAACGTAGCCTGCCTGCAGCACCGCCTACGCGTGCACAAACTGCACGGACTACACAAGCTACAACAAACTACTGTGAATTGCATGGTAGAGAGAAGACAGTAGGCTTGCGTGAAGGCTGCAGGGAGACTTACTATAAATAAAATAAATATGACATAGTGTCGCACATTGTTAACCTTCACTGAGAGCTGTCTTTTTTTTTTCTTTTTTTAAAGGTGTCGTCTCTGATTCTGTCAGGTTATCCTCGATAAAAGTTCATTAGCTGCACTGAACATTCTGTCAGCTCATGCGCTGAAGGGACGAACGCTGTTACAACGCAAGAACACGCCGCGCATCAGCTCATAGGGCCGCAGTGCCTCGGCGTTAAAGTCCGTGTGTTCTACGGAAGGTCGTGCTTCACTGTTGCTGGCGCTCCGATAAGGAGTCGAAGGTAAGGCCAGAAGAAAATTGAGAAGAAGAAAAAACGAAGAGGTTGGTCACCTGCAAAAAGTATAGCGTTACATTACAAAATAAAAGAAAATTTTATTGATTACGAGCAATCGACCATGCACATGTAATGCGTTACGTACAACTCTGGCGTGAAGTAAGAAGTATATATGCGCACTCTACGAAAGAAGGAAAGCCATTCGAGCGGCTCATTTATCGGTTAGACACAACTAATGAAACTAACAGACAAATAATCAAAAATGGCATAGGGGACGTTCTTTTTTAAACTTTAGTGTGATGATTTTTGCCTAAATTTAAAGGAATTAGAGTGGACAAATATGATCCTTTCTGTCAGTGATATATGAACTCGCATAAAGTGCGGACATACAAAGTAGACGTGAGAGCGTTTTCTGCCGTAGCTCAATTGGTGGAGCATCAGTCGCGTAATTGTAATATTGTGTACGTTCAGATGCTACCGAAGGCAAGGGTGGTTCTTGGTACGCTTTAATTATTTCAAGTTTTGGTATTACTTAGTACAGTGCAATTAAAAATGACCGATAAGGTCCACTCTGCTTTTCTTGGCATAATTATCAGGTTTTTAATTAGAACTGCACAATAATGTAAAATGATTTCAAGCTGTTGAAGGGTACTATACCTTTCGTGGCATAATTATCCGTTGGTTTAATTAGTCAGAACTAGACAATGAAGTAAAATGAGTCCATGCTTTTGATTTGGGCTATGTTTTTGTGGCCTAATTATTCGTTGTCTTCCCTATAGTTAGAACTACACAGTGAAGTGAAATGAGTCTATAGTGTTGATGGGAGTGTTAGATGTTACCTCTTTCTTGGCCTCTTCGCTAAACTTGTTCTTGACGTAGAGGTGGCCGATAACCGACGGCATCGAGGCCTTCGCCGAGTTGATGCACCGCTCCCACCTCGGCTTTTGAACGCTAACTCCGCTTTGGATTTTCGATAGCTCGAAGCTGGCGTTTCGGAAATCTGCCGAGGCGGCGCCCACCCATGAGAGCATGGTTCTCAGCCCGGCATAATTGTACAGCGTGTCCCTGCAAGCAAAGAATGCAAATGTAGCGTGATGTATTTTTTTTGTGTGAGTGCTTCTAAATAAACGGTTTCAGTGGCTCCCCATACCTGACTTCAATCAGTCAATCTCAATTTTATTGACAAATCAAAGCAAATAATTACAAGCTATCTGAACCGTTGTGTGATAATGTAGACATGTAGACATAGAAAGACATGTAGAACATTACTTAAATTTAACTTGTAGAATGTACTGGAATGTTCGTGAATATTGACTCCCCCGGATTAATAACGAGTCTGGGCAAACAAAAACAAGATGAGTCTTCATCCTCAAGTCTCAAAGAACAGTGGAGCTGGGCTTAACAGTCTTTGAATACCAGCCAAGCTTATCCCAGAGATAGCCAGTTAAGCCATATGAGCTTAGTGCGCGTTGTGAAGGGCAGATAAGCCTAAGAAAGTCGGGCTGAGCCTATAGGAAAGCCAACGCGAGGCTTTCCAACCGTGAATCTTCTTTTTTTTTTTGTGTGTGTGTGATAACCTGATTTCGTTACGTTTTAGAACGAAAGCTGTCACGAGATCACAAAAAATCGAGTCACGCGCAGTTGCATGTTGTCCGCCGCCACCACCGGTGTCCGTAACCACATCACGCGAAATTAGAAAAAAAAAACCTTGCACCAATGAAACAGTGGGGCTTGTACCTGGGTCCACTGGATGCCAGCCCAATATTCTACCACTGAGTTACGCCGGTGCTTGTAACTTCTTGCCAAACTTGCCTTAGACAGGCATGACCTAGTACCAATGGCACAGTGGGGCTTGAACCCGGGTAGGCTGGGTGCCATCCCAGTATTATACCACTGAGCTACTCCAGTGCTTGTGACTTCTCTATCTATTTCTATTCATTTGTCTCTTTTTGTTTATCTCATTCTTTCTCTGTCTTTTTCTTTCTGTCTCTCTGTTACTTTTTATTTGTCTCTTTCTCTTCTTTCTCCGTTTCATTTTTCTCTAACTCTTATATGTATATGCTTGTATATGTATGTAGTGCCTACTATGGAACAACACATAGTAGTAACAGCTTACTTTACGGAAATATCCCATCTTACGTATTTTGTTATCCAATCCGGCAAAACTTGCAGCGAAAAGTTTCAAGCACATCAACACTTTCTGGGCGTACAATAGAAAAAGCTGTACGGCTCAAAATGCTATGTGAGCTAAGAGCAACAATGCAAGTATTTTGCGCGAACCTTGCGGTGTACCATCTGAAGTCTTTTTTTTTTTATTTCGTGCCGTAAACACCATGCGAAATAACGTTGCTAGGGGTTGCACGTTAACCTTCCTGTGGTTGAATAAGCCATCTGTAATGCCAGTTGCTGCGTTTATTTCTTTTAAAACTAGATTGACGGCAACAAGTACGCAATATTCGGTGCCAACCACTCCTCAAACAAGCACCACGTGCACTTATATACTTACGGGTCAACGGTTTCCAGAAAATCGTTTAATTTCGTGTAGTACTCCAGAGCGTACATTTCGATGGTCTCGTTGTCAGCTAGCGTTATGTTTACCTCTTTGAACACGTTAGTCAGTAACGCACGTATCGGTATCTGAAAAAAAAAGGATAGAGAACACAATTAATAGTTGTACAAGGTTTATGTTCAAAATAGATGATACGATTATGAGATGCCGTAATAGATGGTTCCGGAAATTTCGACCATACGAAGTTCTCCAATGGGTGCTGCACCAGTTTTCCAAGTAACTATCGAATGACTTCATTAAGTAGTTTCGACGAATGTTTAGAATCCGTCAAGTAGGAGCAAAGTTAGTTTCCTCGGACGCTGTAATTGCTTCCTTACTTTCTCATCCCGATTAGCGCGCTGAAATTTAAGCAGGGAGAGATGGCATGGGGGAAGATAGTACGTAACGTACGCGTCATCAACTTCAGCGCATTCTCTCTCTCTCTCATTCCTTCGATAGCGCGGCTTACTAGTTTGATTGTGAGCGCGGGCACGTGGCGGCCTCCTGCGGCGGCCTCGGTAACTCTGCAAGCCACGATGTTCAAATCAGTCAGTGGCTAGGAATTCGGGTACATGGCATGGTGATCTTGGTATATGGTATCATTTCTAGAGAAAGAGAGGGGACGATTTCTAGCTTACTTTGAGAGTTTATTGTGAATTCCAGGCCGCGTGCAGCGCTATATTTAGCTCGAGTGTTCTCGGGAGCCTTTATTACCGATCGGCAGCGTTTTCTGACCACGCTCAAAAAGTGTTGCAGGGCCTTCCCGGCGACACTTTTTCGAAGCTGAAGCCTGTAACACTGTGGCTCTATGAATAAAAACTACAGGTAACATTATCTTTCTTTTAAACGCTCTTTTTTTCTGTCTTATGAATCCTAACACTTTTGCCTTCGCAGATTTCTACATCGCTAAAGTTCGCATATTTATTATAGCCAATCATTTCATTACCGATCGTGCGTGTTTTCTTTGTTGGGCCAGCTACTATAGTCATGCAGGCTACGAGTCTGGAAGTTTTGCGCATTTTTTCGTAATTACGTCTTGATTTGATTTGATTTAAAAAGGGGTCGCCGCGGCCAGGATTCAATCCCGCCACTTGCGAGTCGGTGGTTAGGCGTAGTAATAGCTAGAACACCACGGTGGTTAAGGGAACATGGTTGACAAGTTCGTGAGTAACTAAACGGTTTTTTTGGGGAACTTAAGAATTTAAGTGCTGAGTCGCACGTTGCTGACACCGAGTATTTGATGAACGATAAATGATACCATGTTGAGCCAAACCGGAAGCTTTGAGACCCACTTTTGTACCGGAAGAGATTTAGGTACCTTTGTGATGTAGGATATTAATCACCACGAACCTGTCCTGTAATTTTGATATACAATATTTAAATAGAGGGCCTAGTGACAAGCTATAAACTATTTTTTACTGAAAAGAGTGATAACGATTAGGATGTGACATTATTGTCAATCCTTGCGTTATTTTTGTCTGGTTGTTGTGAATGCTATTTTACTCAAAGCGCAGATTTTTATATATTTTTTGTAATTTTGACGTCGCAATAGTTCGCTTGTTGCCGCAAAGGCATGATTGGAAGGCTTGAAGGTACTTACGTTTGTAAAATTATTCTGCAGTTCCTCCATGGTTGTTCTGTGATAAAGTTTCAAGAGGTCCCTCCGTTGCTCAGGTGCTGCTGTCAGCTGCAAACGTAGAAATTGCGCGCAAGGAGCATAATAACAAGTCACTCTAATGTTATGGCTTTGCCAACAACCGTAAAAACGCCAAAATAATGTTGATGCTTTTTGACGTAGCGTGTCATGCCCCTCCCCCTCCCCCCCTTTTTTTACGAAAGAAACAGGCTGACCTGAATCTGTTTTAGTAACTTACAAAATGCACTGCACTCGACATCAACTTTTTTAGTCAAGATATAATTGTTTAGCTGAGGTCACAATTCATTGCGTGCCTCCCTCGTGGTAGATTTAAGCGATTTTGTTAAACTGCGGCTCATTGAAATTCAAATTCAAACGAAACGTCACACCGTGTAGTGTGTTCACGCGTTGCCAGCTTATTGTTTGACGAGTATACAGGTTAACATGCAATCCACGAGTCGAACTCGCAACCTCCATCGTTCGGCCCCCTTGAGAAGCTATAGGTGCGCATGATGTTCCTTGAGTGTAGAAAGGGCGGGGAGAGCGTGTTTTAACAACGGCTTATCGAAGGGATTAAGGTGTGCTTACATTGGCTAGCTGTCCTTCGTAAGCGACGAGATTATCAGTGAGATCACTGATCTCTTCGTCGCTAAGGTTGGGCTTCATGAACTTCATGGCCACTTGAATGACGTTCTTGTAAGCGGCGATGATTGGTCTGCTGTATGTGGTGTTTTGGTTGATAAGCTGTTTTCGGCCTACCCAGGAGAAACCCAATTGATCAAGCTGAAAGAAAAAAAGAAAAAAACTTTTGTTTGTTGGTGCGCTCTGAGTCTTATAGCTTCGGAAGATGGTGGGCTGGTTTAAGAAATTTGAATCATAACACGAATCTCAGAAGCGCAGTACAGACGAACACTGGAAGTTAATAATTAAATGTCCGAGATTCTTGAGCTATAGATATTTTGTGTCAGTGCTTTTACTGCTTTCAAACCTGCACTCTGCTTGCACAAACGCATGATGAACAAGACATTCCTTGTCAATATTCACCTGTCACCAATTTAATTGTTTAGTGAATGCCGGTTTTCTGATCATTATTCTAACCTCCAGAAGGGCACAAGAAAAGTATAGAGTCAGGAAACATAATACGATGACATATTTTATCTGTATTGGCCTTACAAGTAACAAAAAAAACAGTTAAAAAGATGTCTACTTTTACGAAAGAAGTGATGGGCTTTGACGCGTACCCTTAAAGAACCTTGCCCCGCCGCGGTGGTCTAGTGGCTAAGGTACTCGGCTGCTGACCCGCAGGTCGCGGGTTCGAATCCCGGCTGCGGCGGCTGCATTTCCGATGGAGGCGGAAATGTTGTAGGCCCGTGTGCTCAGATTTGGGTGCACGTTAAAGAACCCCAGGTGGTCGAAATTTCCGGAGCCCTCCACTACGGCGTCTCTCATAATCATATAGTGGTTTTGGGACGTTAAACCCGACAAATCAATCCTTAAAGAACCTTAAAGAACCAGTGTACCCTTAAAGAACCAGTACTTTGTTACCGCATTAAAGTCTGGGAAACAATTTCCTGCCGCCTTAAAGTACAAAGACACTGCACAGACTTTCGAAAACTTATCGCATAGTTGTAAATTTACAATTTCTAGTGAATTGCGCTTGAAACAGTCACACTTGGCCGTTGAAATACACTATGAGAGGCCGCGCTTTGTAGGTCGTCGTTCCAAAGTTGTGCTTCTCTTTTGTATGCTCAATCTCGTTTTCTGAAAAAACGCGGTGCACTTGGCCATAAAAAGCAGAACTATGTTTGATATCTTGTTCTGTCTGGTTTAGCTCGCTGCAATTTTGAATTATTATTATTATTATTATTATTATTATTATTATTATTATTATTATTATTATTATTATTATTATTATTATTATTATTATTATTATTATTATTATTATTATTATTACTATTATTATTATTATTATTATTATTATTATTATTAGCTTTAACGCCTATGAAGCACGATAATAATATGAGAGACGCCATAGTGGAGGAGTCGGGAAATTTTGGGGCCCTGGGTTTCTTTAACGTGCGCCTAAATCGAAGTACACGGACCTCAAGCATTCCCGCCTTAATCGAATGTGCGGGCGTCTTTCATAATCGTATGGCGGTTTTGGGGACGTTGAAGCCCACGTGTAAATCAATCGAATAAGCGGCCGCCATTGTGCACTTCGTAGCACGTTAGAGTTGTGGTCTTTGTGGCGAAATACAAGACAGACGACGGAACTGGCGTCTCGAATTTTTGTGGGAGTTGTGGGGATTCGTACACGGGACAGACGACAGCATGTAAGACAGACGTCGGCGAATGCGCGCACTCTGTGAAGCGCCGATCATCCGCTATGAGGGAAAGTGACACGCTCTGCTGAACGAGTGGCTTTCATTACATTTAAAATGATTATTGCGAGATTAACGATCACTTTGTCGTTCTTTTTAACAATCAGTATACGCTCTGGGTGTGCTTCTAGATTTACACGCGTTAGCTTTTTAGCTTCATGTTCTTATCGTTTATTTATTATTTTTCGTGCCGGCTGGCCGACTCCGTTAAACTGGTACCACTTGTGTATACCCTGACCTAAATTTATTTGACCTACAGCAAAACCAAAAATCACTTGATCCTATCTTTTGCGCTTGATCTGTCGTGTCGTCTGCTCTGTTTCTCCTCCATGAATGAAAATCATTTGGTAATTTCAGAAACATTTGTAAGGTTGTCTCCTACTGTCATATTTATGGCCAGCTGTGCGGCAAAAATAACTGGAACGAATTACCCTTACCGGCAGTGGATCGCTATCCGTATTCCATGGCTGGTTTCCATCGGTACCATTCGTGCAGCGGTTTAACACCAGACCGGTTTCTCTTTCTTCTATTGTATTATTTTTTTCTACAAGCTTTTCGCTGCTGCGTATTCACTGGTGCTAACTGGGCTTCAACGCTGATGCATAGGCGAGTTTGATTTGATTTGATTCATTCATTTATTTACAATGGGGTTGCGGGATACCAGAGGGGAAAAGCTGATCAATCAGCTTGAGGGTGTGATGCCCTCTATGCACGTATGGCAGTATAAACAGTGACAAAATAAAATAATTCATAATGTATTGGCTAACCAACATGCAAAAAGAAGCGTGCTTGCATAGACAACATGAATAAACTTTCAAAAACTCTTCCTTCCACAAACAACGAAAACGAAAATAAATAGACGATGATGTTTTGAGGGCAAGTGTATGGAATTTGTGTAGCGATTTCATAATAGGCATATTACAGCGGATCAACTTGGTTGCAACCGACACGTGTGCGTTTGTGGTGTTACAAAGGCTGTGCATTCGCATTACACTGTCGTAGAACCGGTATGCATATGTATTTACTGAATAGGCGTACCTGAATCACGTAACTATCTAGATTTCGGGTATCTCTTCCGACCCCGATGCCCAGGATGGATGACATTCCAGTCCTGATGATGACGCTGGTGATGTTTCTACATTCCGTCGTGTTCGTCGATTCCGTGGTGTTTGATGATTCCGTCACGTTTTGCACTTCCTCGCTGGAGTTTCCAGTTTTAGGCCAGTCACGCATTCCGGAAACTTTCATTATGTCGTACATGACGTCACGTCGATCGGGCAGCTCGGGTGCAGCTGGAATATTGAACCAGGTTTATAAAAGGAGGGGTAGAGTTCGTTGACTATGATTTTTTTTATTATATCTGTAACCTCTGTATTCCTCTTTGCTGAAAAAGCTGCTTCGGGGGCTAGTTCGTACGAGTGGCTGCCAGGAACTCGACGAAGTGATCACAGATGGCCTAGCTCGGCTATGCCAAGATGGACAGACAGACAGACAGACAGACAGACAGACAGACAGACAGACAGACAGACAGACAGACAGACAGACAGACGGACGGACGGACAGAGACAGACGTACAGACGGATGGACGGACGGACGGACGGACTTACAGACGTACTGGTAGACAGGCGGACGGACAGAGACAGACGTACAGATGGACGGACGGACAGAGACAGACGTACAGACGGACGGACGGACAGAGACAGACGTACAGACGGACGGACGGACAGAGACAGACGTACAGACGGACAGACAGATAGACAGACGGACGGACGGACGGACGGACGGACGCATGGCCGTATTAGCGACTTAGCTCACGCGAATCAAGCCCCAGTTCATTAGTGACACGTCACTCGAGCTTTCACGCCGTCTCTGGCGCGCCAGCTGTGCGCCGTGTGACGTCACCTCTCCTCGGGCATGCGCACTGCGGCTCTCCATGAGCAACGCGAGACTGCTCAACCTCGGCCAGTGTAGCTTTCGCTACAAAAAAAAAAAAAAAACCCAAAAAACTAACAAACAAAAAGAATGTTCTTGTGTGGCCACTTTGTCCAGTTTGTAGCAGTGTAAAAAAGCCACGACTATTTGCTGTCCCTGCACTCTGGTTTGACATTATTTATTTTACAATGGCGTTTGTTGTTTGCATGCAGTATTTCTATGTTCGAGCGTTACTGAGAGAGTGCCTTGTATAGTTTGTTGTGCCTGGTCCCTCCCTGTTTCCAGTCTTCGTGTTTTCTATGTACTCATACTAAATAAATAAATAAATAAATAAATAAATAAATAAATAAATAAATAAACCTTTTCATTACGCGTGACTGTTTTCTAAAACTAGTTATTAATGGACCTCGCTAGGTTTAGTTTGCGCGTTTTTGAAATGAAAAGAATAGTAGTACGGTTAAAATCGATTAAAAAAAAGAAAATCACCGATGATCGCGATACAGTCTAATGTTAATTCTGAGTACATGTGCGTGTTGGGTCAAGGCCAGCTGCGTTTGAAGTTGCGGCTTTCTACCGACTGCGCCATAAATTATATTTTTTGCAACTGGCGCAACGTTAGAAAAATGATTAAGAGGGGATGAAAGAGACACACGGACGCCAATGTGAGCTTCTCATTGAGGGCTCTCGACATTCTGGCTTTAGAGTGGCAGAGTAAACCAAGATAACAGCTGAGTGGTGATTGAAGACCGAGATGCACATGTTGCTACTGTCCGTCAAGACATTGTGACTTAGGCGTTAAATATTTTGAACTTAGCGCTACAATTTATGATCGTCTGTCGAGTTATTCACAGTTAGTACGAGAAACATTCAAACATCTGCTCGAGCAAACTTTATGTGCGTCAAAAATGAGGAGTATCACTTTTTTCGGCCTCTAAGCTTTCGCCGTGATACATCCATGCGTATTCAACGAAAATGCGCTAGTCCGTCAGCCCTGAAGGGCTATAGTGTGGCTATGAATGTTATATCATGTTGGTGTACAGTGTGACTGTTATTACACAATCAAGACTAAGCTATTCTTAAAACGGCAGGCCAGATCTATCTGTGCATTGTTAGTCAGCCATTTGAAAAAAGTATGAGTAAACCACTTTTCAGTTTTACTGTCCCTTATGCTTGCCCGCTGATCTAGATTTCAATCTTTGTATTATATTTCCTAGTAGAGCAGTGTATTCAGCTGACTTCAGTTGAGTCATTGAGTTTATCCATTGAGTTGGGCGTTCGAGTGTTTGCGTCTATGCGAACGACACTCATATGGCAAAAACACGTGTGGCAAGCACTTACGTATTTTCCAGAACAATAACTATATGGCCTTCGCGAAGAATTGCGAAAATTGTCACTCACCTACACAAGAGTTGTAGAAAAGTGCGAGCTTGTCGACAACGGTTTGGTTCTCGTCAACGAGGGTAATGTTTTCTAAGAGATCTGAAGTAAAAAAAAAAGATAACTTGAAGACTGGCCCACCAGCTTGTGGATTGTACATTATAGCGAAGACGATAAAGGCACTCAGTGTTCACAAGGCTGCTGAGCTAATGATTTATTTCAAAAACTGTCTATTCATAACAATCACCCACCATCCCCGGTGGTGGTTTGCATCTGAGTAATAGGAGTCTATGAACCAACCAACCTTTAACTTCGCTGAGTGGTCTGGCCACCGCTGTAGTGCGGTGGTTACAATTATCAGCTCATGACCTAAAGGTCACTGATTCGATACCAGCCGCGGCGGTCATGTTTCTTTGAAGGCGTAGTACTGGAGGCCCGTATACGCAGATTAAGGTGCAGCTTAAAGAATCCGAGGTATTCGAAATTCCTGGAGTCCTTGACCGCGGCATTCTTTTTAATCATATCGTGGTCATGTACGCAAAACCCGAGATATTATTTTCTTTGATATTATTCGCTAAGCGGCCGCCCTGTTTTCGTGATCGATGGGCTGAACATATCGCTACGTCGCTCAGCGGATCCCTGAGAGTCAGTTTAGAAGTAAAATGAAATAATTTTCATATTGCTAGCACTTTATACAATAACGTATACTGCGGAATTGAGCAGCGTTTGTTCCGTTAACTATGAAAATTGTCATTGCTTGACTTTTGCTCCTCAGAAGGCCTTCAAGTTTGCGTTGGACCGACTTCCGCAGAAAAAAAATGAGTGCGTGATAGTTGTTTCTAGAAAAGTCAAGCTTGGTCGCATTGGCTGTATCACAGTAAATGACTCAGGCCTTAAGAACAAGCAGCCAATAACTCCTCCTTTTTCGGGAATGAAACTGTCATTTTTCATGCACATTTCGTGATTCGCTCAACTAGGCTTATGTGCATGTTTATAGCCAATTATGTTTTCTGTAGCGTTTTTTTTTTGTTTGCACAGACCACTGGTTGTTGTCACCGCGGTGATCATTGTGCATGCAGCTATACACTATATCCCTCGAAATCAGCTGCAGTATCAGTTCCAATTTATTTCTCCGGGCATGTTTTATAAATCCAAGACTTCAAATATTTGTTCTCACATTGTTTCCAATACCGATTGCTTGATTCTTCATGCGGTAACTTGCTAAGCAATAAATACTGTTAGCTATTATTGCAGATATTTTCTTCATCCTATATTCCCAAGATTTGGGGGACATGTGGCGCCTTCTCTGTGGCTACGATGGTGTCCTGCCGTAACTGAATGGGAAATGGGCCAGAAAAAAAAATCGCATCACTTGAAAAAAGTTAATTATGCAATACGACTCCGGGTTCTGTACAAACGAGATCTATTGGAGCATTTTGGCAAAATTATAGTATAAGCCTGACACTTTCCACTACAGTTGAACACCGCCCAATAAAAACACATGGGGCCCCATTGTAAATTATTCAATACACTGGAAAGTCACGTATTTTGTAGAGTGACACTGCAATTTAACAGAATCTTCAAATAAGTCTCTATTGTGTAAAAGCGCTAGCCCTTTTTGATAACTAACTCTTTTTCTCATGTATCGGTTTTCTACTCAGTTGCTGCAGGCAACCGCTGTCACCGACGAGAGATGGCGACACTTGCACATATCCCCAGTCTGGTCTTCATCGCGAAAGAAGTTAGACTGGAGCCTATAGTTTTTCACGCCGACGTTCATCCGCTCAGTGCTTCTGCTGGCTTGTGCTTGAAAAGAAAAACTTAGAAAATTTCGTTGACGTACGAGAACCTCGTGGTGCTTTCATCGACTGCCTCACCTCTGAGTGTATCCCTCAGTTGATCGTTCAGTACGCTGAAACTGTCCAGCGCAGACTTTTCGGCTGGTATCGGGTGACTTTTCATCCATCCACCGCAAGCGTATGAGTAGAAATCTTCGCACGGATCAACCGATGTGTTGAGCGATTCATTGATAATCTTTGCTGAAAAAAAGTTTAGACGAGCCAAGTCAGATCGAGTTTTTTTCCCCTTCATTACAAAGGACAGAGCATCGCATAAGACGCTAAACAAAGCAGACTGATGGTACATCCTCTTCCATGCATGAACAGCCGTCTCAGTTACCGGCGACACAATTGGAGGAGATGTACCAGAACTGTTTATAAGAGGTCCCGTAAAGGTAAACAATGAAACAATATATATATATATATATATATATATATATATATATATATATATATATATATATATATATATATATATATATATATATATATATATATAGGTAAAAATCACAAAACAAAAACCTACGTGCATGTGTTGGTTTAAAAAAAAGGTAAATGCATGTACTAATCATTCGGAAGCATTCAGTGTTTAGAATTTCGTATAAAGTTCATAGAAGCATATTTTTTAACAGTGACATTGATTGCACCAAAGAAGTTCTTTGCGTATTTTTGTTGTCTTGAGTTTGTTCGATGTGAACGACACTAATTTCCAGCAACATCCCGACATATTATGGAAGTCAGGCTTAATTGTGGTGTACCTTTTTTTTTTTTCTTGCATAAATACGGCATCTTACTTCTTGACTGCTTCGTCAGTAGAAAAACGCGCAGTGACTGTCCCCTCGAATTTTGTACTTCTTAGTGGTGCACGTGAAACTTGCGTGCTCTATTTTTTTTTTCTACAAGTTGAAATTGCTGCAGTTGATTTCTGTATAGTCGTATAGCAATGTATTTGTAACAGGTTGTTGAATTCGTGACTACGTCTGTCGTCATCTTTGTAGGAACTATTCTAGAAAGGTTAATATTTTATTGTTCTTTTTTTCCATACGATAAAATGTTAAATTACTGATTCGCCTTTGCAAGTCTCTGAAAAACTTTTCTAAATGAAATTAGTGTTGTGGTTTACATTGTCAGTTAGAATTACATGCAATAATTGCAATGATTTGGGGAATATTTAATATAAAACCTCAATGCGAACTCGTCCTTGTGTTTTCAAGCTGAGGCCGCTGTGAAATTAAGTGAAATAGGAAGTGGTATAATCGTTTCATTTTGATGAAATGTGTAGGTAAATTAAATTTTCAAATAACAACTTAATGAACCGTAATGCTTGGCATAGGAGGTTCGTCATGTTAAATTATGCGGAACAGTATTCCGCATCATTTAACGGGGAATACATTTATCTCTTTACTTCAGTGTGTTTTAAGTGAGCGAACGCTATGACGTAAAGAAAACGGGTCTACAGTGAATCTGCTGCACAATATTGGAGCGAACTGCATAATTCCGCAATGCACTGCCTTGCATTACGACGTTGTGGTGTACTGCGAACGCCGCATTAATAATCGATAATAGTTGCTTTGAATGTAAGCAGTAGGGAAGCTTGAACATCCCCAATTCTAAGGTTGTACAATCTTCGTAAATTAGTAATTGTTACTCATAATTTATTAAATTCAGGGTTTGACAGCACTTCATCTCAAAGTGGAGGATGCATTGTAATGGGTAACGTCGACCACAGTAAAAAGCACTTTTAAAACAAGACGTTTTGCCTACAGCACGGGATACTGACGCACAATCTGTGGTGAAATGATACTGCATAGCAATGTATGCATGCTAAAGTACGCTAAAAATGTACGTAAATAACGGAAACATGCCGATGTAAGCTCAAAATGTCTTACCTCGTTGAAGGCACACGGGTGTGTCACAGACAAAGTAGTCTTCTACGTGGAAAGTGGAGGAAAAAGTAAACAGTAAGAGAGTGGTTAGGTTTGATGCAAAGTCAGCATGACATGAATTCAAGAGGATGCTAAATGGCATGCTGACTTGCATCCTCTTGGATTCAGCATTCGCAAATAATCTATCCGGTTCTAGTTCTCTCTCACAGCTTATTTGATAGGCTTTCGAATGTTGATAAAGGTCACTGCATGCTGCAGCAGTGAACTGCAGCAGTGAACTAACGCTTCCATGGAGGTGTTAGTATGATGACGTCATCGCAAGATGATTTGTTTAGATCATTTAGTATTGATGCCGTCGACGATGACTGTCACTTTTCTGGTTTCATGAGACATGTAAGGGAACTCTCAGAAAACCGCTGTGGTTAGAACATGTTGAAAGGGCACCTGTTGGGCGTATCAGGCCTGCATCAGCCTAGTGGCGCTGCATAGTCCATAAATTGCAATGACCTCGAACTCTTCATTATATTAACACCTCCACTGATATTAGTAACTTAAGAAAGCGAATTACCATTTTTCTGTAATTGATCATTTCACTGTCACATCAGCTGAAGCAAATATTTCCACCTCTGTAATGTCGAAATTTGGGCAAGTTGATGATTGTTCGTGATTACTTATGAAGCAGCGCACGACGACAGGCACAAAAGGAACGAAAAGAACAGCGGATATATCGTTGCTTTTGTGTCTGTCATCGTGGGCTGCTTCATAAGTAATCATTTCCACCTATGCCTAACTTTGAATCTCGGAAACGTTAAAAGCCGGCCTGTGTTGGATTATTAATCTAAAGTCTTCATTAGTCAAAAATAAGCACCCTATATAGTTTGATAGCGTCAAAACAGCGCTGGTGTCATGCTCAACAAAAAAAAAAAAAGAGCGCTGTCAGTGTTTTGGAGGACTGTCTTGTATATCCTGGCGTTTCTTTTTTTTGTGACTGTGTACGCACTATTTGTGTGTGGATGTAATCATAGAATATCTCTGAACACCCGGTGTGGCTAGCCATACAATAAACAGCTAAAATCTGTGGGAATAACTCTGCGAATTGCTATCTATAAAACTCCACCCATTACCGTCGTATGTATCGTTTGAGGTTTTATAGCGTCCACCAACTACGGCAGTAAAAGTCATCAAGCTGCGTAACGCTGGCAATCGTTTTTCACATTATATGCCTTTCGTAAGAAGCAATATTACTTTTTTGTTTTTCGTCCTATTCATTTTACTTTTGACCGTTGGCATGATTCGTCCGGACCAACTGGTGTGTGGTGTTGTCAAACGATCTTCTCTGACAGCCTTGCCTCTCTACATGGAGGTTGGTGAAATCAAATTGTATTCGTGCGTCCTTTGAAGAGTACTGACACAAAAACTTGGTGGACACTTCCGCTTCTAGAGTGGAACGCGATTGCGCAGTCGGGCCCCGTACACATCACTGTCTCAACTGTTAGCCTGGCTATAGTTCTCGGTTCGTGTCCCGACCGCGCCGTAGTGAAACGAGAGCCCGTCCACGTGACATTGGCCTTTTCGAACTTTCCTACGCTCTTTAAAAAAAAAGGCAGTGTCACTTACTAACTTTGAGGTAGTAAATTGTTGTCACAACATTCACTACCCAAGTAGTAACTGCAGGTAGTAGATCACAGACATTTACTACCTCTGGTTATTTATTTATTTATTTATTTATTTATTTATTTATTTATTTATTTATTTATTTATTTATTTATTTATTTATGACATACTGCAGGCCCCACAAGGGGCCCAAGCAGGAGGGGCATAATCACTCAAGTATAAACAAACCGACAATACAAGGTAAAATACAGCAACTTCTAAAAAGAAAAAGAAACATACTGTCTCAATTTTCTATATGTTCAATCCCATCAATACTACAGACAACAGATATGGGCAGATCATTCCAGTCAGGTTGCTTCTAAGGTTGTAAACAGTCTGTAGTCTAGTACCTGCAGGTACTACTTAGCTAGTGAATGCTGTGACAACAATTTGCTACCTCGAAGTTAGTTAGTAGCACTGCCTTTTTTTTTAAAGAGTGCACTATCAACGCCTCCTAGATTTCCCGTGCTTGCCGGATTATCGGCGGTCACTTGGGAAGCGGCGGTCGTCGGAACTACGGTGGTGGCGCCACTCAAGTAGGGGTGGGTGTCTTCAAATAAGTTTTTACGTTTTCGGAGCTTATATGCAACAAAAATAACGTAAAAAGGTTTTAAAAAGGCGTAAACGTAATTATAATTAACCCTACGTAAGCGACACCGTCATTCAGCAAGCAACTTTTTTTAATACAAGGCATCCTCTGAAATTAGTAGCAAACGCCATAATTGCCGATCTCAAAGGCCAAGTAAAAAGACCTTTATCCCTACGTAGGCAGCGCTGCCAGAGATGACCGGCGTTTCGCGCTAATCCGGCAGGCACGGTAAATCTAGGAGGCGTTGGCACTATATACGTCACAATCCTTGCTTATGCGAGCCAGTGAAGGGCCTAGTACGCCTCCGTAAGACAATACGCTAACCTCTATGCAGGTTCTCACTTTGTTCATGTTTTTGAAAGTGGTGATGATGCAATATGTTTGAGCGCTTTGTAATGGCTAGGCCTTTAGAGCACCCACTCGTTGCTCAGCTCACGTGATTCTTTTTTTTTTTTTTTGCGTGGCGCAATTATACATGTCTGTCAGGCAAACTTACATGCGTTAAGGAGACTCCTTCTATTTGACCGCATTCAAATAGGATTTTTTTTTTATCGAAGCAGGTCCAAACAATTTTGTGTCTTTGTGACACCTGTTTGCCACGCAGCAGGTGTTCGATTCTCAGTCGGATAAGACATTTTTTTTAATTATTCGCCTATTTTTAGGTTTCTCGGTCGTGGACAAGATAATTTTTTTTTTCGCTCCCAACCGACGACGCCCACACTGATGCCGAGATTTGACGTCAAAAACCATGACGCCAACATTTTGGACGGGGTTAGATTGCAAATCAGCGCTAATCACGTGCAAAATGAAGACAACGGACGGCCTGTAACTGTAAAGAAATACTCACTGAAACCAATCATTAGCTTTTTTGTTCTGATATCGTATATTGCCTAGCAATATCACTGAAACACTTGTGCAGAATAACTTCCACAACTGCCGTATGCTAAAACAAACAAGCTGTTTTGTTGTTCTTGTTTTTTTTCCTTCAACATTGCATGTTACATTTACTTGCATATCATCAGCGATAAATGTCACTGTATGTGCCAAATACGGCGCCAAGCTGTAACGGCTAATGCAAGACCGTGGTGGAATCAAAGTCTATTTGTTTTAGGACATTATGTTGAAGACAGGTTTGCTGTGAATGTAGCTACCTGAACATTGCCGGCCTGGGAATAGAGTTAAAACGTTTCGTCTGAATTTGGAGATCGTGATTGTGAGTGTGAGGCGCTTGCGATTTATAGAGCGGAGGTGATCCAAACGTATGTGATTTGATTGACGTGTGAGCCGTATTGAACGTAAGCACGTCTCCGTACAAACAGCTAACGAAAGTGATATAAACCGATTAAATGCTCGGCTGATGGTAGCAGTTTTCGCAAAGTTTAATCTTATTCGTAATACGAACAGTAGTGCAAACTCACCTCTCTTTTCATTTCCATTTGGCATGGGCAAAGCAAAACTCGCCCAAGTCAGCAGGCCTGCTAGCAATGCCGGAGTTACACCTTTCATAGTGGCATCTGACACCAATAGGGAAGAGCAATGCATGCAACAGATGCACTTGGGTGGTGAAAGCGTCGACAGATTTTATGCCGTGGTGCTTTTTTAGGTCGACCCGTTGAACCGAAGCGAGGGACCGATTGCGCGACAATTATACGATCCAATCGCCGGATTCCTGTACGCGCCGTGAACAACCGTTCGTCGTCGCATCAGGATGCACGAAAGGGTTAAGCGACTTATTTTCCATTTGCTTCGTATGGGGTGTCTACTGAGTCTTCCTCCGCCTCGTGGTACAACGAAGATGAAAAGGGTTCGATTCTGGTCGTATGCGCAAGTGTTTCAAAAGTTGCTAAATATTTGAAACTCATGTATTGTTCGACGCCAGTGCAAAGATGCTAGAGACCGACCCTAGGTCGCACCTTATAATTATGTCTTTGTTTTGACGTGTAAAACTCTGCATCGTTACTTCATTGACTTTTCGTATCCGTTCGTTAAGCTGGGATGCGTTCCATAATCCATCAATTACCGTTGCATCAATAGCCACAATCATACTCGTGGAGCACGAATAATCAACTTCGGTGTCACGCGGAGCTGCGTACCTTACCGTTGCCTCATATATTTAAATCCTACGTCATTTGTACTGAGTTGGGATACTGAGCTATATAGGTCCCGTTAAGGCGCCGGATAACAAAAGTAAAAAAAAAAGCCATCTCTACGTGGTGGGGCATTATTTGTTTATTTGAAATTTCTTACGGGTCTGATGTGCATTGTGCCAGAAGGGGCTCTAAAGTGACATCGACCAGTGCAAAATGAAAGGCTAACAAACGCCGACCAACTCTGGACCGTCCAGCAGGCCCGCGGAGCGGCTGACAGGCTTGGCCAGCGCGGTCTCGACGTGGGAATCGCCCACTGCGCACTAGCGGGCGTCTTGCTGGACAACAATAAAGTTTTACACCCACCGACCCACCAGAAAGGAAGAATACACATCAGACGGAAAACATCTTAGCACTTCACATATAATGCCAATACATGATGCATAATACGTACTGAATTCTGCATGTGTTGCCTATTTAAATTTTATGTTCAGCAAGTGAGCGTCGTTGCGCCCCCCGAACAAGATATTGTGATTGTTTCATTCGCCAAGTGTTCAATTTGAGTGCTTCCATTTATCCTTTGCAAAACATAAGAAAAACAACCTTACACGATCAAGCGTCACTCCGTGATAAGATGTGAAGATCTGCTCAGTCCTCTGGACACAATTGAAAGCTCGCACGGTTGAAGTGTTTGCACGTTAGCTTCACCGAAAGCAGTGATAGAAAGTGTGTCTCACTTGTTGAAGCGCTGCTTTAGTTCTTAGAGTTGTGTGTCAGGCAAACCTATGCATAACGTCGGTTACGTTTGCGTTGTCCAGCAGTACCTATGCGCACTGACACTGTGTAAGGGCATGACGGAACGCCCTTTCGTTACTTGACGTGTGACCTACATCTACACCGCCTGCTTCTTCGATTCGCAAGAAGTACGGCGGTACTATGACGCCTGTGACGGTAAACGGTTCGTGATTTCATGACAGTTTTCTGCGAACTCATTTGTTAAGAAAAAGTCACAGCCTTTCCGCAAAGGCGAAGCAACAAACGCGATAGCAACAAATTGGAAGGTCACGAGCACAATGGCAAGCAGATCGAAACGTGCCCCGCGTTTTTCACGCACAAATGGCTCACGAAACGTACTCACAGGAACATATGAACGCGAATAGGCGTCTCAGTTGTTGCTTCGCTGTGTCTCAAAAGCGCGCCCTTTTCGCAAACGGAGACTGTGCAACGATTGCAGTGACCTTTTGTTCGCCCGGTATACCTACAACAGAATCGTTCCGGTGAAAGCCCAAGGGCAGCCAATATGTACGATTGTCCCCACCGCGAGATGAGATAAGCGCGCGTTAGCGTCCACTCTGCTCCCTCTCTGCGGGGCAAAGTACGCGTGGGAGATGAGAGCGCGCGCCGCCGCGTCATGATGATGTGGCGACACGGGCTCATTGCGCCATCTTGCTGGTAATGCTGAAAACGCGATAGTTTCCCCGAGATGCCCGTTACCAGCGGGTAGTGGTAGATGCAAATAGCTTGCCATCTGAACGTTGAAGGAGGTGCTCCTTCGTGGCTCAGTGGTTAACGCCTCACACACAATTCAGAGGTCACACGTTCGATTCCGCGCGCCGAAGCACCCATTATGCAAGGCACTCACTATACGTCGTTACAATGACAATGATGCTCACGACCATGGCGATGATGATAGACAACGACTAGCTTGTGCACTATACAAAGTATCGTTATGGTCTACGATGCATTGCGTATATATCATGGCTTTTAGATAACGCGCACACTGCGATTTTTTTATGGTTCAACAACGCACAGGAGAAATCTCCCACCGGCACCACCTTGGAGTTCAAAGCGTAAGACATGTTACGCACTACTACGAGTGACGAATGGGTGCCGCTTTAAGGAGCTTCGCCCCTAAAAACTGTTATCGGGCAAGTGAGTTTGGATTTTTACGGACCTCGGACCACCGGCCGGCCAATACGCTGGGCGTACGTGTCCACACCACGGAGGCCCTCCACTGCGCGTCGTCTCTCGTTATCATAACGGTGGTCTTTGGACGCCAAACCTCAACAATCATTATTTTTATTATCGCTACCTCCACGGTCGGTATAGCACTGCGTGCAAGCTTCTGCAGCTCACGTGTTACGAGAAAACCTCCTCACATGGCTTTGCTCGGCTTCCTTGATCCGCCCGTTTTTTGACCATGCGATGATGTCACGCGATCAAGACTTGTGTGATCGTGATGACATCACTAATTTCGGGGATTCATGAAGTGGCGATGATGCCATACGGTGACGTCATGATTGCTTGTTTTTATTTATTTATTTATTTTATACGAGTGTGTAACCCCACACCCCAAGACAAAATCCTGCCGACGCCCAGAATAGACGCGGAAAGAGGCTGCGGTTGTTCGTTGTCGGGTGTGGCGCAATCTCAGGTAGTTTGGCTGTAACAACACAACCCCACCTTCCGAACACTACGCACGTCGGGGGCAAAACTTGTATTTGCAGACAACCCTTCAGAGACCCACCTCGATCGGCTAGGCGCTCCTTGTTACCATCCATCAACCTTCACGCGCGGACGCGTCGAGGTTTGGGGAAAACCCCACCGCGACATCGTCTTCCTGGACCTTCCGCTGCAAGCGAAAGTCGGCAAAAAGCATACCGAAACAGGGAGCGTCTCACGAGAATGTCGTTAATCATGGGGCTCATCGAGTCGATGTCGGGTGATTCCAGCGGGATTTCCAGAGCTTATGAAAAAAAAAAGGATGGAGAGGGGTCTGAAGGCAGTAGTGGATGTACCGATAATTGGTCTGACAAAAGAACGACAGCCTAAAGGATACAAAACTCGCTACGCGCAGCAAGTAAGGATTGATGGAGTTTCGGGCAGGATGCGTCAAAGTGCGATTCGATCAAATTATGTATAGATGACAGTATACGCGCTACGCGAACATTTCGTCCTTGACAGACCCTGACGCGTTCCACCGAGACGATCTCAAATATAAAGCGCACGCGATCTTCAAGAACGGCCGCGCAAGAAGAATCGCATCAAGAAAGTATCCTACATCCACCTGGAAATGTCAACAAAACAAATGATTCGGTCTATGCGAGGTCCGATGCTGTTCAGTTTGATGCACCGCTGAAGAAACAAACGCCCTTGGCAGAAACGCATATGGACAGACGGCAGGGACAGCAGACATAAAAAAAAAACGTAAGCCTAATAGGCTGGTACTACTAGGGAGTGGAAGATTGATGAGACATAGGAGACAATAAGTAGAAGCTAGTGCGGAACTATAGGAATGCAATCGTACACTCACAGCCGGCAACTGTGAGTCCTTGATATGACCTTGACATCCGCACATTACTGTGAGCATTGACCTTACTCTTTCGTGGTACAGGAATGAAAAAAAAAAAGAGTAGGAAACAGTTCACTTTTGAACTGTTTGTATTAAAGAAAACTGCAAAGAATGAAATGAGTTAAAATGGAGGATGTTTCAGCTTCGCAAACAAGAATGCGGCTAAGTACACGACATACACACGCATCCTGGCGTGCGTGGTGGAAAGAGTGCATCGTAGATCACATGCTGCGCATGCGCAATCTTTCCGACTACGGGTTTTACGCGGCGCTGATAGTGCCGTCAGCCCCGAGGCCGTGGTCCTCGCCCAAGTACGTATTACAGTACAGCAACGGCAGATGCTCCACTATTTAACCAAGGCTGTGGTAGGATGAAAGGAATAAAATAGAGAAGGCAGGGAGGTTAACCAGAAAGACATCCGGTTGGCTACCATACACTGGGGGATTAGGGAAGGGGACAAGAAAGACGAGAAAGAGGGAAGAGAGGGAAAAGAGAGATAGACTGACAGTAATTTCGCTGCAGCGTGTAGAACACCACCGCATGTCTCTGAGAGGCGTTCACACAAGCCCGTCTTTCTCAGGAAACACAGCAGGAATTTCACTGCCTTGTCGGCTGTCGAGGGATGTGGAGGTTGCTTTAATAGCACCTGCACAGAAAGAGGCCGACACCCATGGTCATTCACAGAACCTTATGAGGCTATCTTTCGGGATAAGTAGTACCCGTTACCAACTTTGTGCCAGGTCGGTGCATCCCTCCTTACCCGTTATAGAAAAAACCCCTGGGTCCCATTTCCAGTCGGCGCCGCAAAAGGAACCCATGGTTTAGAAGTGGACGGTTTCATCGCATTGGAAGTGGACGTTACCCTTGATCTCTACGCGATGCTAAAATGTTACGCTAAAGGTCGGAGCCGGCAGTTGTCTGGCTTGCGTTCAAAACGGACCTATTTCTGTGCACCGTTTCGAAGCAGTATAAACACCTTGCACGTAGCGGTCATCGTCGGATGGTTTCGTAAAATGAAGTGCTGCTAACACAATGAGGCGACGCGTGATGGACGACTGTCTTGCAGTGTCAAGATGTATCAGTTTCTAAGAAGGTATCTTGATCTACGAAAAAAAAAAACCGTGTACTTCTCCCGTTTTCGAAAAAGCTGCGCAAGTGCGTCTTATTAATTCGTGCTATTCTTCGTGGCTGACAGTGTGAAAGCTCAGACATAGAGTAGATGTGAACATGGCACCACGCCATGTCCACTTGATAAAATAATTCTTGGGGTTTAACGTCCCGAAACCACGATATGATTTTGAGAGACACCGTAGTGGAGGGCTTCAGAAATTTCGACCCCCTGGAGTTCTTGAACGTGCACCTAAATCTAAGCACACGTGCCTACAGCATTTTCGCCTCCATCGAAAAATTTGGCCGCTGCAAGATTCGATTCGGCGACCTGTGGGTCAGCAGTCGAGTGCCTTAGAAACTAGACCGCCGTGTCGGGGCCAATTTTCCATAGGGCTATTCATGTTTGCGTTGTCAAGAATAACTTGTACGTCCTCATTGTGCGCGAAATTGAACGAAGGTTCCAATTTGCGTTTCTTGAACGTTCCTAGCGCGACGACGAGAGCGTGGTAGAAAGGGGATGAAACACCACGTTTTCAGGCTCCTCGCAAGATATATTTTATTCGAATCGTTTTGCTTTCTAGTGCCTTTTTTTTTTCTATACTGTTCGCTTTCATAGACCAGGATTTTCATCGCTTGCAGGACATATCCATCTTTGCTGGGGGGATGCGGATTACGTCGTTTGGATGACTGTGTTAGCATCCGGCGTGCTGATATCAAATGACCACCAGTGTTTGCGTGCAATCAGCTGTGACGTAACCATTCAGCAGCACCCTATAAGCTGGACTCGCTGAGATATCACAAATGGGGTCGGGATTATGCACGCTTGTTTTCACCCTTCCAGACGCCACCTATGAAGAACTTGCCTGTGAATGTGTCCAATTTCTAAAACGCCACTTAAAGGCGCTCAATATTCTATTGCGACAAGAATAATGCGATAGTTCTTGAACTTATTAGTGTTATAGCAACTCATCCTAATTAAGTTGTAATTGAATATCTCTTTACCCTGAAGTTCCCCCGCTGCGGTGGTCTAATTGCTAAGGTACTTGGCTGCTGACGCGCAGGTCGCGGGATCGAATCCCGGCTGCGGCGGCTGCATTTTCGATGGAGGCGAAAATGCTGGGCCGGTGTGCTCAGATTTGGGTGCACGTTAAAGAACCCCAGGTGGTCGAAAATTCCGGAGCCCTTCACCACTGCGTCTTTTATAATCATATGGTGGTTTTGGGACGTTAAACCCCACATATCAATCAGTGAGTCAATCAATCAATCTTTACCGTGAAGCCATAGATGCTTTATTTTGGCATAAATAGAATAAAATCTCACGCTTGGTATATAGTGCGAATTCATTTTTGGTTAAGTCCATTTTGAGCGTATATATATATTTTTTCACATTGCTCGCAGGAAGCGGCACGTCTGCGATTCGTCGAACGTGGTAGTGCCTTCGAAAAAGTGATCATATGTATTAGCGCACTGTGAAATTATGTTAAATGAAGACAAATTTATTTTGCAGGAAGTTCAGTTCATCCAAGGTACGATATATCTTCCTGTTTCTTACACTCTACTTGATGTAGATAGCAATAATGAGTGGAGTACGCAATTGTGAACGTAGCGTATTAAAGGGTTTCAACGAATTGAGCTTCGAAGGAGTCAAATCCTCCCGATGTGCAATTTGAGCGTTCGCACTTTGCCAGTGAACGTATCTTCGCGCTACCGAGCGCCTGGATTCTGCATCAATGACGTTGCATTTTGAACGTGTTCGAACCAGTGAAGTTTAGATACTTCCTTGGTTTGAACTTGATTGATTGATAGTTTGTTCGTGCGGCGTTATATTGGGACGCCTTGCCTTCAACACTGAAAGTTTAGAGTGTTGGCGTTTTTAACACTGTCTTCAAACACATGACGTCTCATCTCCACTTCTTGTTAATCAGAATCTGCACTACGAGAAGGTCCTGCAAATGGCATGATGAACGCGAAGCAATGAAATACGGCGATATGGTACGAATTTCAGCTGTGTTTGCGTACTTGCTATTGTCGCGTGGTCGTGCTTTTCTGCCGAAACAAGTCCTATTGTCACGGGTTCCAGGACTTGTTTTTACAGTAATAACATAAACTACGCCCGTATTCCTTTTTTTTTGGGGGGGGGGGGTAAGTTTTTTGTAGTACGTGTACTTCCCCGTAAAGCATACTGTAGTGGGTGTATGAACGCAATTACGACTACGAAGCACGCGCAGCCACTTAGTTTAATCCAGGGGTACCATATGATATAAATATGGGAATCCAATCCCGGCCTGTTTGTTCATGCGAACGTGTGAAAAGTTGACTATAGCTAAGGGTTTTTAGGGGCACTGAAGAAGGCGACATTGGTTCAAGCTATATAACCAGTCGCGTCTTAAGACATTTTGGGAATTTGCACTGCTCAGCTTACGCCGGCAGGAATAGCAGCAGCTGGTCCGGCGTGCTCGCAGGGTCGCGCAAGGCAATTGAGCCCTGGACTGAGTGCCCCACCCAACGAGAGCTTTCTGTGTTCGTCAATGCAAGTTTATTGTCTCTGTCTCCGTTTGCGATTCGAGCAAGAATGCTATGACAAGGCGGCGAGTTTTACATTCGTGCCTTGGGTGGTGTTAGATAACACTCCCATGGAATAAACACACATAAATATCCGACAAGGAGGATAAGAGAGTGCCCTCATTGGCCGCTAAATTGTTAGAGCATCAGTCGCGTAATTTGGCGGTCTGGGCTTAGGATCCCATCGACCGAAAGGGTGTTATTTTGCCCACCTTAATTTTTTTTTGTAAGCTGCTCTATGGTTAAAAACAGCAAGCAGGGGGCATGGCCAACAATCGTTTTCGGGGAGGGATGGGGGCACCTCCTTGATTAGGGGGCAGTTCTTTAAATGGTCATTTTTTGCTCTCTATGCCATGGTGAAAAAAAAATCGGGAAAGAGAAGGGGGCAAGGGCCCTCTGTGCCTGGCTGGCTACGCCCCCTGCTATCAAGTGGCCTTCTTATCGAATCAGTTCTAGTTGCAGCAAAATGTGGCATCACAAAAAATCATGGAGTTCAATGTCGTTTATTTCAGCAGTTCTCCTACTTGGTACATGCCTGGACAACCACCGTGAAAAAAAAAAAAAGGAAAACGTAGATGGATTCAAGCTTTGTAGTCTTCCTTCAACACCATCGTGGGCGTCACCACAGACTGCATCGGTCTTTGCGGTTCATTGTCGAGTTCTTTGGGCAGTTGAATGTCTCGGAAAAGGCTTCCAGGTTTGACATTGGCAAGTTGACCCTGAAGATAAGTCGAAACATTGGGGTTGATTAGCACATGGAAAACGTATGACGTGAGTGAAGTGAAACAGTGCCGGCGAAAACAACAAGCCATCTGAGGAGACTAGGAGCGTACTTGTATTTCTGATTGATTGATTGATTGGTTGACTGATTGATTTATTGATTGATTGATACGTGGGGTTTAACGTCCCAAAACCACTTACGATTATGAGAGACGCCGTAGTGGAAGGCTCCGGAAATATCGACCACCTAGGGTTCTTAAACGTGCACCCAAATCTGAGCACACGGGCCTACAACATTTCCGCCTCCACCGGAAATGCAGCCGCCGCAGCCGGGATTAAATCCCGCGACTTGCGGGTCAGCAGCCGAGTACCTTAGCCACTAGACCACCGCGGAGGGGCTAAGTGTCTTTCTCCTCCTCTGGTCTGTGTTTGGCGCCGGCGCTGTTTTACTGCGAGTCTGAGCCGCAGCTCAGAAGTAGATCTTCGTATGACGTCAAGAGCTATCTGCATAATATTCCTGTTAATACATATTTTTAATTTTCCCGGCGTTCTGCTCTACGCTGAGTATCTTCTGTAGATTGGAATACCTGGTGGGAACTGCCTATGCGCACCTTACCGGAAACCTAAAGGGCCCTAAAAACATCCGCTACGCCAAAGGCAGTTGCGGTTCATGCCGAGTCTATCAGGTGATCGTCGTGCGTTCTGTAGCTCGTTAGCTCCTAACTGATGCTTGTATTGTGCTTCAGGTTCGTGTCCTGAAGCTGCGACTGCTAGGTATTTGTGTAAACTCGTCGACGCTTCCTGGAGCCATACCCAAACGCTCAATACTGTGTAAGCTTATATAATGGTGATGGGTGCTTCCAAAAACTCGGAGGATGAATATTACGCGTTTGGAAGCTTTTTTTTTTTCTTACTTCAGAGCTGGCGTGACTTGACGTCGAAGATTTGCTTAGAGATACCGAAATGCGAACGAAGCAAGCAAAAGTCAAGTTTCAAAAAGTTAAATATAAAAAAAAACTCAACCTCAGCTAGAGGACCGCAGTCATGAAATTTGTTTCTGCAAGGGCCGGGTACTCTGATGAAGGTGGGAACAGGTGTGGTCGGACAGTGTCTTGGTGTGTTGACAAGGGGTGCGTATTTTTTGTTTGTTTGTTTCTGTTCATATCTTTTTTTTATGAATTGCGTGGAGAGAAACGAGAGAAGAATGCTAAGTCAGGCACGCAGACTCCAAGCTTTGCTTGCATTTATTTTCTCAATAGGGCAAGGGCTTCTAATATGTTTATTAAGCCCTCTCGTGTGGCAAACTTTGATTGAAAAAAAAAAAGAAAACGCCAATCGTGCGCGGGACGCGTGGAATAGTCCCAGCAAAAGCTGGAAGAGCTGTTTTTCTAGAGCATTATTTAAACACTCTTGGGGCATCTATACTGTACAAGCACACATGCATGGCACCTGCTACGCCATAAATCAACAAGATTTCTGCATAACGGGGAAGCGTTCACAATGCCACTATTGGTCATTCTTCGGGAAAGCGTGGCACCCGCTATACACCTGTATGGCGTGGTACCCGCTATACACCGTATAGCGCTTTTTGTCTTGTCTTGTCACCTAGATCTTGGCTCATACCCACAAGGGGGATTGGCCACACTGTACCTTATAATAGAAATTTTTTACACAACGCTTGATAAAAAAGAGAGAAATTAGATAAGAGCAATAATAATGTTCCTTTAAAAAAGGTGAGAAGTGCAGAAGAATTCGATAAACCAGAATATATGAAACATATTAGCAAAAATGAAGAAGGGGGACAAAGAATTGGATGGCAGTGCCATTAGCAGCGTATCCTTCCGGTTGCCTGAATGAATTTATGTAGCGCTGACAGAATAGCACTGCGGCCCGCACCCAACTGACTGGCTCCAAACGATAAAAGGGTGGATGTATTAACTGCCAATCCGAGCATACCAATTGGTCTCTCAAGAATGATTCGGCGCAGTGAGGCGAAGCGGCGGCGTGTGAGAAGAAAGTGATGCATTGTTTCCGGTTCATTGCAAACTGCACATAGGTTAGTTGATTAAAATCCTGATGTTTATATGCTGCTGCTTACGACGATGAAGAAATACGCCTGAGGCTTTTGTGACGGGTTGGAAGCATTCAACGACCCACTGGTTACGCGATTTGTATTGTGTGACGCCTCGTTCTTTTTTACTATGTTCTAAAACGCTTTATTACGCTTGTCAACGCCATTCTACCCGACATGAAGCATGCACAGAATCAGTTTGTAGGTCGCGAGATCGACTCCCGGCTGTACCGGCTGCATTTTCGGTGAGGGAGCGAAAATGCTGCAGGCCCGTGTGCTCAGATTTGGGCGCACGTTAAAGGAACCCCAGGTGGTCAAAATTTCCGGAGCCCTCCACTACGGCGTCTCTCATAATCGTATGATGGTTTTGGGACGTTAACCCCGCATATAAATCAATGCACAGAATCAGATCGCGAAGTGGTTTCAAGCACCGCGGCGTAGCCCTTATATACAGTAACACGACGTAAATAACTCTCACTCTTCTATATACTCCACGCCGTGTTAGCCATTGAGTTTTTCCTTAGTAGCGCTTAAGTTATTATTGTCGTCATGTGATTGTGCTTTTGCTTGCTTTATTTGTGTTTTTATTGCGCATTCTACTCACTGTAGTAAATACCGCGAAAAAAAAAAGAATGGCGTAGTTCTGTGACGGAGGAGCTCTGTGATTCCCGTTCAGCCTTCGGGATTTTGCATCTATTCGGTTCTTTTTTTTATTTTGTGTGATAGTGATTACGGACACCGGCGGTGGTAGTGAGGGCTGCGGCAGCGAAAACTACGCTGCCGAAATCGACACTTGTTGCGATTCATGACAGCTTTCACTGTAATGAGAAATTACCGGGTTACCTGTATGGGGCTGGGCTGTGCGGGTCATACTGAATCATTAGTTTGATGTATTCAGGGCGGGCCAACCTGCACCATGCCTGTGGAGGAGAAGCAGTCACCAAGAGTGTCATACACACTATAGCCCTTTCTGAAAGGCTCCCTTCAGATTCAGTGCCAAGCACTGCTGACATAGGACGTACCATTCCGTTGGAAATGAAAAACAGCTGCTTCCCGGTGACGTTTTCCATGCCCGCTAAGCGAGTGTCCATGCCTCGGTACTCAGTTTCAAGGAGGTTTCGATAAGCCTGGAAAAAGGGGAACAAAATTTCTCTGTAAGAGATTGTTTTTTTTATCAAAGGTGTACTTAGGACACCATTTGTAGCAACGTCTAAAATCTTCATATAGTTATGAATGTGGTATACAAACAACGAAAATTCGAAAACGTGAACAGTTACTTGGGCTTGCATAAAATGCTTTTCTGGCACAAAACGAGGTGACACATACAATCGGCCAAAATTTTAGCTATTGTGCGTGGCGACCACCTTTTTGTCTGTCAGCGCCATATTATGGAACGAAGTCACAAAAGATTGCTTCGTGGACATATGCTTTATGGGTATACACTTGTCCTTAATTCAGCTGAAACTTAATTCAGTCGTATAGCAAATATACGCAGAAACTGCCACTCATGCACGATAGCTAAAGATTTGGCCGACTGTACGCATTTTTTTAGCAGAAGGGGGGGGGGGTGAAGTGTGCGTTATGCATTGTCTTTGTAAGGGGGAGGAGGTCACTTCGATGAACCTTCTTCCGCAACCCCCCGCCCCCCTCCCTGATGGGGAACCCTGTGTATGTCGTTGGTGACACAAGTTCAAATATGACTGTCTAAGCCGTCGTTAGGATGTCGGGAGTTGCTTTTCAGGAGCGAAGCTCCTAGTGTTCATACGGTGTCTGTTGACGCCGTTGTTGTCGTAGCTTCCCGTTGAACCGAAACACAGGTGTTACCTGTGTTTCGGTTCGACGCACATAGATCGTTTATAGCGTGCATATAGTTTAATAAAAATACACAGTGCTTTCTGCGTATCTAATAATTCATCTATCTCTCCGTGAATCCGCCCACCCGGGTGTCTGTCTGTCCGTACATCTGTCCGTCCGTTATGCTAGTCGGCGACTTCAACATAGTAGGTGACTTCAGGTCAGTCCTATACACTGACATTAAAGAGAGGGGGAGTGAGAGGGGAGTGCGAAGTCAGCCCCATACACTGACATGACAGGGAAGTGGTGCTGCGACACCCCCCCCCCCCCAATCAGCAGATGGCTCACTTGTACGTGTTGCATTGTCACCGCTTTTGCGTTGCATTGTGATCGCGTTTGCGCTGAAGCTATCGACAGCACGAAGGTCACTTCGTTCACATGAGGGGCAGCGTTTCATTATGCCAGCGCTTTGTTGAGGCGGAGGCGTACGAAACTTTATTGTCAGAATACGGCAGCATCGGTGTTGCGTATCCCACGCCCGGGTTTCATTCGGGAGCTGATGGACCCCGGCGAGGTCCTCAGCCCGTCGGATTGCCCAGAGCTGCTCATCCGCATTTTTGCTGAGTACCACGGTCACCTACTGCTCGCCGTTGGTAATTGACCTTTTCACGGCAAGTACAACGCCCTTAGCGGCTAGAGCCCAAAGGAAACTTGGTGGCTATCCGATCAACGCGACAGCGCGAGAGCTTGCACGTTGCTTTGCACCCATCGCCTCCGAGATGATGCGCCGACAAGTTTCGGAGGCCACGAGCCACCAAAAATGTTTCAGGGTGGCGCCGTTGAAGGGTTTCCGGTGCGCATGTGCAGATGGCGCCCGTGAAAAAAAAAGGTCCATTGCGTGACCCCGTTGGACCGCCATTGAACAGGCAGAGAGGATGTTAGATGGGACCGCCCTTTCCTTGAATAATTCGCACCTGTTGGTGTACTGACCGCGATGATAGAGGCTGTATCAGACGCCAGTTTCAGGTACGCGTTTGGTTGAATTTCCGCTGGTCGCAGCTGAAAGAGCGAGCAGCTTCTATTTCACACATCTCATTTCGCTGCTATCCCATTTATGCCTTCACTTCTGCCTTTGCCTTCACTTATGCCTTTGGCCATCAAATGGCCCTTGCGCCAAAAAACACCATATATCATCATCATGCAGTGATGCTGACTCTTTTTTAGATGCGAAGTAGCTTTTTTCTCGGGGCTGTGTCCGTCCTTCTCTTACGCGTCCACTCTCCCCCTCCACTGCGCGTCGCGTCCCCCATCCCTCTCTCTCCCGAGTCGGCGGCGAAGGCAACGAAACGCCTCCACAATACACACGATCACTTTTTAACCATTGATAGTCGGTATTGCGGGGACTCGCTCTCTGGATTTCGTGCCGACCGGTTGTGCCCCCGCGATCTCCGACGACAGCGCAGCTATGGCCGACTGGGCTCGCCCTACGCAATCTCCTGGCGCCGACAAGAGCTCTCGCTGAGTGGTGCCCCGTCCTCGGACTTCTGCAACCATGTCCAATTTTCTTATCTTCTCCTTGCTTCTGGGTGTCGCTGTCCTTGCGCCACGCTCTCTCCTTCCCACTCTCTATCTTTATACCTTTAATCTTATCCTTTTGATTCCTCCTTACCCCCATCTCTCGTGAGCTACTGCTGAGGTGTCGCACTCTGGTGCAGACAGTTATGGGGCTTACTTTTACCTTCTTTTCTCTTTTAAGAATCACATAAGTCGGTATTGCGGCGTTCCACGTTTCTGTGTGACAGAGCGCGTCTGTGTTGGTTAGCACGAGAGCACGTTCGATGTCTCTTGCGTGTGCATTGAGGGGCCTGCACTTTAGCCATCTATAGTTGTGGTCACCGGCAGTGTTAGTCAAGTGTAAGGGTAGACGAGTTTCTGTGGGTGCCGTTCACCATCCTCGCGCTTCTTCACATTGATACATGGTTCGCTTTAGCGTAAGATCGTGTAAATGTTTCGGTCTTGCGTGCACGTAGGTTAGAAATAATGATGCTGTCGTTGACGGATATATGTAACAGACGTCATCTGTAGAATTAACAAACCATACTTCGGTACATCATTCCGTTCAAACTTCACTGACATGCGAGTGAGTTTTTTTTTTATTTTTGGTTCGGCGATCAAAGCGTCCGGAACCGACGTTGCAACTTACCTCGAATGACAGGCGCAGTCCTCCATTGTCGGCAATGTTCTCGCCCACCGTGTTCTTGCCGTTTAGCTGAAACGAATAATAAGAATATATATATATATATATATATATATATATATATATATATATATATATATATATATATCCATGAACAGTTCATGAAAATGAAACATAAAGTATACTCTCCGCCCGTTTCTATCAGGATGCCCTAAAGAAAATTTTTGGCGATTTCTTGAAAAGGAATGAAAAAGTAACTTTTCGGTTTAATATCCTTGAGCAACACCTTTCCGGTGCGATCCAGATGGGCTGGCCTCGTGAAGAGGAATCACCCGACAACTGTTTCGAGATGAAAGCTTTCCTTCTGTGAAGTCCGTCGTCAACTTTCTTGTAGATTCGGCTACAAGCAAATGTACGGCAGTCTTCTACGTACGAAGAAACTACCGAAGTAAAGCGAATAGAGTAAGATGAAGAACAACCATACGGGACAAGCGCCGGACAAGCGTCGGTAGGCAGCGCTTGTCCTGTCTGGTTGTTTTTCGTCACTGTCTTCGTTTTACCGTTCTCTGCGACGCATTCTCACAAACACGGACCACCGATTAGTCTCACCGTCATGTTTGTTTCTTTGTCGGTGATGTTTCCGTACTGGTACTCGAAACATTTTGTTCTGTTCATGAATTCCTTTCGAGTTTTGTTGCTCCACCATTGTTTCAGGGCACCTTCTGCGTCGAACTGACTTCCTGTTGAAAAATAAGGTATAAAAAGAAACGCGAACACATAAGTGAGGCATGGCTGCTACAAACACACACACATACACACACACACACACACACACACACACACACATACATTTTGCAATTTTTGATATTGTATTCATGTTATGCAAGAGCCCTTGTAGAAATGCAATGTGTTTATGTTTAAATGCTGAGAGGATGAAGCTTAATTGCAGCTAATAGGGTAAAGTTAGCAAATTAAACATTTAAACGATGAACAAATAGCACGACATATACGCCCATTCTTCAAAGCAAACACATGTTTCAGCGTGTCCAGTTTCGGCAACTAGCTTTCCTTGACAGCGATACAGTACTGGTTGCCATCAGTGGCTTCCTCTTTTTTTTTTTTCTCGGCCTTACCCATGTCGTCAAAGCCGTGAGTCATTTCGTGTCCTACTACCATGCCGATGGCTCCGAAGTTGAGAGACCTGCCAAAAGAGATGCAGTTGCATTATGTCCCAAACGCGTATACGACGAAAATTTCTTTTTTTTTTTTGTAGATGAAGCAAAATCAGTGTTCACACTCAATCAAACTTCTTGTTGGACTATATAGTTGGTTATTCGTCATATTGTAAGATTATTAGCGCCACTTTCACTCCCGCAAACACTCACACAAACACTCATTCATCCACCCGAGTAACACGCACGAAACGCAGCGCTTACAACCAACTGTTTTCACACTGTTGACTAACAGCGTTATTTAGAGTTACATTCAACATCTTCACATTATTTTAATGGTAGTAACGCGCGCAATTTCATATACACAAAACGGGGCTACGTTACGTGCACCGTTTTTTTTTTATCATGCGCTTACCTTATGCTTTTCATAGAGGAGAATGGAAAACAGGAAAACTTCACAATGATTAATCAAAATCAAGTAACCTGCTTGCTACCTTACTCTGTTGAAAAGGGATTGGAACAAAGGTACACAAGCACAGAAACGGGTCAAGTCTTGAGCGCATACTTTTTTTTCCTCTCTCTGTACATGGCAGTATTGTCAGTCTCTCCTTTTTTTCCCTCTCTTCCCTCTTTCGCATCTTTCTTGTCCCCTTCCCTAATCCCCCAGTGTAAGGTAGCCAACCGGATGTCTTTCTCGTTAACTTCCCTGCCTTCTCCCTTTTGTTGCTTCCTTCCTTCCTTCTGTGCATGGACCTATTCATGCCTTGTATTTTTTAATTTTCCTCATATACTGTAGCCAAAGAAGGGACATGGATCTCGTCAAGCCGTTATGTGGCTCCTCGTCAGTGTCCCTGATATTTGTACCGCGAATAGATGCGAAAATAAATTTCAAAGTCCGAAATTGCGAGTCTTCCGCCACTGCGCGCAATGCACGGGGTGAAATTCCCAGTGCCGTTATTCGAAGTGATGCAACCCAACCTGGCGCTTAGTGGGGTGCGGCAACCGCTTGGAAAATGTGGCTTCTCGTTTCCTCCATCTTCTCTATTTCACTCCCCCCGCCCCCAAACACACATGACGCAATGCTTTACTTTCTTATATTACGTTACCAGAACTATCTTTTGCTAATCCCGAACCACTATAAAAGGGAGTTTTCTGTAATGCTTCAAAGTTTGCAAACTGGGCCGTAATTACACTGTAAAAAAAAAAATGGCACAAAGACGTGAGACCAGTGTTCGGTCCTTCAAGGAAGAATTCGCAGTTATGCGAGGACAACGCACCATGTCGTCGACTATAGTTGTGAACTGATACACAGTAGTGTAATATATCGAATATTTAAATTTTTACTCGCGGTATTTTTTCTCGTCTTCCTCCTCATTCCCTTCGAGCTTAAGGAAGAAGAGGAAGAAAGAAGCGAGCGGAAGGATAGCGAATTCTCAGACCGGCTGGCTAACCTGTGCTCTGAGAGGGGCTTAGGGGAGTAAAAATTGATAGAAACGAGATGTTACAAAGATAAAAAGAAAAAAAAAACACTGACCGCAAGAGAGGGAGAGTTAGAGGAAAATAGAATACGCAAACTTTCCATTATGCTTCAATATCAATTAACGCGTCAACTTTCCGTCCTACTGAACTAACCGATAATCTCTACATGCCCTTATTACTAATATTATCAGCTCTTCCAGCTGTCTGGCTGCTAGTGCTGAGGATGAAGGCTGCATGGTTTGGATGTTTGAGTACACGTTAGTGAAATGCCGCTTAACATGTTGCGGCTGGGGCCCGTGTCAAGGCGGACACCACTTGCGCATGCAGAGCAACTTACCGTGGCAGGCCGTGTTCGTAGAAGACTCCTTGAAGGATTCCCGAGGGGAACACTGTGCACATATTAATCATCGTTAGTGAGCTTGAATGTTTGAAAGAGAGAATGTGTCGGCGTTAAAGAATGATGATTATGTTGTGATAAATGTAAGTGTGAAGAGTGTCGCCCGTCTTCTATCGGGAAAAGGTTACGTGTATCCCCGAGAATAGCGGCATCTTTCTACCGATCTCGGAGACCAAATTGTAGTTTACTAGGGTTGCGTTATATGCATGCTACGAATAGGCCACAGTCTAACCACATTAACCCCGGCTTCGTCGATGTATTTCTCCACGCCATTCCGAGCCATTCTTTTATTTGCTATATCAGTGTTGGCGGTGATGCGATACAAGTAATGCCTTTGTCGGTAATATTTTTTCCCGTGACTAAGCCATGAAGCCTTTCTTCAGAGCGTCGTCAGAATACCCTTTTCTGCGTTGGTCATCTGCGCATGCGCTCCCGTGTCGATGAGGCACGCTCTATAAGTTTTGGTATGAGACGACAGGGGTGGACCAAGGGACATCTGGTGTCACAAACGTGCAAATACCCCCCTCCCTCTAAAAAACAAAATCATGAAAGCACCAACGCAGGCCTCCGCGATTGCCTACTGGCGCGCGGCGGGCAGTTTCAGAGGCCAAGGACCGCAAGTTTCGATTTCGATATCGCCACTGGAGGGAAAGCTTGGACTCGGGAAAAAACCGATTGCTTTCTAATTTATTGAGCATTCTGTGATGCTTTCCCTGTGGCTAGCGTAGATGATTGAGTCCAATATTGTGTATAACGCAAGGAGGTTTCTTTAGACCTCCCTTGTATGGCGTCGCATTGAGAAAAATGGCTTCACCATGTGGCACAAAGTCACAAGCTATCACGTGTAACAAGCAGTTTTGTGACACTATAACATTGCCTAGGTCCCGTACATTCGTTAAAATAATACTTGTTAAGTGAGATTATTGAGTATAATTTTTTTTGGGGGGGGGGTTAGAAGTTTTATGTGAAGCATAAATCCGAGATATAAAAAAAATCTAGTTTGGTTGTGAGTTTCTGTAACAAATACACATTGATTAAAGTGGGTGATTGTGTAGTAACGGCAGAGGTAACGTCCGTTACTTTTTTTTTCGTTAACGGTAATGGTAACGCGTTACTTTTTTTTTTTGTAGGTAACGTAGGGTGCTAACGCGTTCCTTTTTTGTTGGGGTAACCAGTAACGTATTTTGTAGTTTTTTCTTCGGTAACGGATACAACACTGTTTGCGATCAAGAAAAAAATTCGAAACTGTGACTACGAATATCGAAGATCACAGGTTTGATCCGTGTTGTAGGCAAGTTTTCTTTTTCGTTCACATTTCTTTCTTCACATTTACCTTACTATTACTCCTAATAACACCGCCTATACATTCCATGGCGTCATTGTCTGTGAGTTCTCATTAATTTTCATTTGCTATCCAATTTAAAGCGTGCATTTTGGTAAGACTTTGGACTCTGACAGAGTCGTATTTCTAGCTTGGCACGGATTGTGTGGTACAATGTATGAACAGCGCTGTGTGTCGCCACCGATGATGTTCGGTCAATATATATTGGCACCAAATCAATCTGTTCAATAGAAAGTACACCTCGCTCCTTTTAACAGATATCGCATGCCAATGCGTTGTATATTCGCAGATATTGGTCATACGAGAAGAAACTTTCAGTTGCAAATTGAGCGTAGCCAGGGTTGCTCTTTGGTTCGCACGAGAAAGAAAACGTGCTGTTTCTCTAACAGTGCGCCAGTATTTTTGAAAACTCACCCATTTCGTTGGCGCTCGGGTTGTAAAAAGCGTTTACCACTGCAGCGCCTTCGAGCCATCTGTAACAAAGGAGAAACAACGCAAGCTTTGCACGCGTGTCACATGATATCACTACTCACAGCCGTAGTTGAATCGAACTAGGCTTATTTGAAAACGCATCATCAGGACACTCAATAAGTGATGTCGTCGAATGAATCGAGCATCACAGGTAGCGATGATGATGGCGAAAGGCTTTATGGAGAGGAAAAAAACAAGTAATTAGAGCAAGGCTCGTCGCAAAATCACTCTGACTTCCTCGTGCAAAATTCATTTGAAAGGCTATCGAGTCTCACGCTGCACTCGTGTTCAGCAGCATTACTTGTGTGCGTGCGCTTCGAGTTGTCGATGACGTCGCCCTCGCGCTGTCAATTACTAGCTTCCTGGTTAGCTCAATTGGTATACAGCGACCGCCCCAGTAAGGTGTTGGCCTCAGGTTCGATCCCGTGACCAGGACGAATTTTTCGGCAACTAAAGAGGCCTTTCTTTCTGGGAAATCCGTACGGATTTCCTTGTGGCTCCGTGCCACAAACGAGTGGTTGTCTATTTTTCTTTTCTTAACCCTTCCACCACCTTGCGAGTCTCCGCAGAACGCATTTGCATTGCACTCATGTGTCGAGCGTTTTTTTTTTTTTTTTAAGGGGCGAAGCTCCATAAGGCGTGGGCTGTGCGTCCCCTGTATGTAGCCATTTCTCGTTTATTTCTTCCAGTGTTCACTAGATGGCGGTACTTGTTGCTGACGATGAAAGATGCGAGATGTTATGAAGTAGGAATGATGTCACATATGACGCGTGTCATTGGTGGGAGGCAATCGTTCGATTTTGTGCGGCGACGCAGGCTAGGGGGAGCGTTGTAATAAAATCGAGAGGGCAAAATGTACGGAGGATTCATGGTTTACCAGGTTTACCTCCGGAGCTTTGCCCACTCATCATCATTCACTTCGTGGATAGTGCAGCACTTTTTCTTTTTTGTTCGATACTAACTAAGTTACGGATAGACCTCGCAAAAACGTTGTTTTCCTGTAGCTTTATGATTCCCTGAAAGCCTAAAACTTCCCACCGATTTCAAAACAAAGTTCGCGACATTTCTCTGGTGAACTTCGTTTCGTCGTTGTCACGGTGACGCTATACCGTAAGCCTTCGGAAGTCCATATCGTGCACGGTCTGTGCTTCAAAAATGATTGATGTGTCATGGTCTTACTTATTCATATAGCAAAGATGTATTAGCTTAAGCAATAGAAATAAACTCCCGCAACATGCCGTTCGATAATCGCAAAAAAAATATGTTCTCCACTTACTCGGCGTCGGTGTCGTATGTTTTCCTCAGCTTCTTCATTTCTTGTATCCAATTGTTCATTGACACTGCGTACATCATTTTTCCATAGGGTTCGTTGGGGAACAGCTTCGGTACCTGCAGTAGTTCGTATAATAACTGTTATTGTGACGGAAAGGTGTCTGTGTTTCATTACGAGCTATAATGCTAAACTTCTTTCATCAGCTGTTGGTAGAGACAGATAAAAAAAGATGTTTACGCTAGCCGTGCAAAGCTTAAGAAATAGCAGTGGCTCAGCTGGGTTACGCTGGGATATACGGCGGGAGCTTAGGTTGAATTGATTATGTTAGGTTACCTGGTTTTGATTAGCTTATTATGCTTGCTGCTGGACACGGACGGATGGACGCACGAGGGAGCGAGCGAACGAGGTCACGCGAGTCATGCTCCAGGAGCTTCCAGGCCTTCTCAGTGCGCCAGATGTCCACCGTGTGACGTCACTGCTCGCGCATGCGCATCACTGTTCAGCGTAAGCCACGTGAAACTGCTCGACCTCGGCCAGTGTAGCATACGCTACAAAAGCGATGGTGGAAGATCTTAGGTGCGCCTTCTGGGTTGGGTCTTACTTTGGTCAAGACGAAGTAGAGTCAAACACAGCCCGTCACAGTTGTTGCGAGAATGTCGAAACTTCAGCGCCAGAAGCTAACGTGCAAACCCCGCTGTTTTTTGTGTTTTTTTTTTCGTCCGGAATCCTGCAAGCAGAGGCCAACGATGCGCATGGTGGGGGTGAGGATGTGAGTGGTTCCTCGCTATGCTATTTCGATGGGCGAATGAGCGGCTAACTTTGGTTTTATGAGGATGAGCGCGGAATCGAAGTGGGGGAGCCCGATAGATGACGCGTGATCTCAGGTATAGATTCGGCTACTGGTTGAAGAGTTTTCTCAATTTCCCGTCAGAGCCACGAGTAGTTCATGTGGTATAATATTATCCACACACACACAGGATGCCTTGGGGTGGGGGGTGGATGATTGAACTTATGGCTATGACAGTAATAAAGGAGAGGGCAGAGCCTTGGGGAGTACCGACCTAACCCAGTGCACGAGGGGCCGTGTTCTGGTTATCAATTTGCAATTAATACAGTGCGTTGTGGAGAAATTCACGATTGCAGCTACACGTTTTGGGTAAGCATTGTGAGCAGCCCAAGCTGATCACTATAAACAAAGCAACCACACGCTCTAGAAAAGTTGCACGTACAGCAGTAAACAGCACTAAATGTTCAGCGCACCGAATTTGTTCTGAATACAACTAACTTAACAAGCTCTTTAACAAGCTCAAAGCTATGGCTACTTGTTCGTGTTCGAAACGGAAGCTGCGAATGGTGTGAAGGCGCGAAAAAGGCGCACGCAAACACACTCGCAGTGCTGATTATCGTGTCAGTTGAATGCGTCTAGCGTTTGTTCCAGGGTTCTTCTTCCGTTTTCTGTAGAAATGTGCCGTGCCACGGGCCCCTCAGCGATCGTCTTTTCCCGGAATGATACATTGCTATAGCCTCTGCTATTACACGCACCGTGCTCTACCAACTTCTCTGCGCGGAACTCAGTTAGCCTCACGTCCATAGACACTTGGGGCGAAGCAGCTTAAGACCGCAGAATGGCCCACCGTACGCAAACCATCGCCTGGCGTCGGCAGGCGATGTAGAAACCAAAACATTTGTGAACAACGAAAAGCTCACCAAACGCTGTTAACTATAAAACAAACGAACTATAAGGCCACCACTCCTGAAATACACCGACGTTTAACCACCCATCAATCAAAGCAAGTTACAGAACAAAAGGTTATCAATAACAAAATAATAGGCTGTTAACCAGGGCAAAATAAGAGGCCATGATTCATAATCCGATGCACATTGCTTAACCCCCATCATAGGCATTCACTTCGTGGATATGAAACTGTTTTTGTTAACGCGGCCTTATGAAGATGTGAGGTCCAAGGGGCGGCTTTATGCTGTGCCATCGTAGAGGACCAAGTACACTAAATCGTTAACTACTTTTTCTTAACACCTATAATATTGTCGCCGCTCCCAATCAATTATCTAACCAATTCTTATAGCTTAACTTTTTGCGTCTTTTCCTTTCATCTCTCCTATTTAGTTCCTGCCCCAAAAGAATAGGTATAGGCGTAAAGTGTTTCTGTTGGGGGCAGTTGTCAGTCAGCTCCATCACCGTTTCCTCGGTGCCCTCGTGTGTTGCTGTTTGTTGTATATCAGAACAGTCGCACAAAAATCATTTTTTTGTTTGTTTCTACCGTTTTGTTAGGCAGGTTATAGCTGTATGAGTGTGAATGTACTCACGTATTTATATAGTCCTTCGAGGTACGTCGTGTTGAAGAGCCATTCTGGGTACGCAATTTTCCTCGCCATCTTTAGCAACTGGAAAGCAAGTAGACTGAAATTGCACGTGAAGCCTGTCGGCGCGTCGTCATTAGTGTCACTGTGAGCGCATTGTTCATGGGAGACAGAACGAAGGGTGACACATATGTACAAACTCACGGTGGCGCAGAAATACGTTTTTTTTTTCAAGACTGTGCTCTGTGTGGGTATCCATAGGCGGGTGCGAGAGCGGGGGGGGGAGGTGCTCGGTGGGAGGGGGGGGGTGGCTACCCGTGCAATTTCAGCTATACATTTTGGCATTTTGGCTCAATAGGGGGGAGTGTTGCTGCGACGAGCCTTCGTCCCCTCCTCCTTTGCCGTCAATGGGAACTCTGTGCACACATTTAATTTAATAAAGTGAAATATTCATGAACTCCGTAGTGCTCCACAACATATATGAGCTGCGTGTGTGAATCACATTTGACTGTAATTATCGGCTTCTACGTGGGGAAAACATGAATTTTCTCTAGTGTTTGTCTTCGTAGCAGTGGCTTTTCAGAAGGGAGAGACAAGCCACATCTTTCTCCCGAATGTGTAATAACGTTTATTTGACAAACAAATTAGCAGAAATGTGAGAATATGGAGCCGCATTTTGCAGTACAGGCATACAAAAATCGTATCAACTTAGCATCGCGACGAATTTATCTGGCAACTTGACTGGCTGTTTCTCTGACAGTGGTCACTAATACGAATGGTGTGCGCAGCCTGGCTATAGGGGAACACGTTCGATTAATTTTACTGTTAAAATACCTTCTCGCTAGTACTATGGAACATCTGTATCTCTGATGCCTTTATTTAGCGAAATTCAAGAGTTTGCAAATTGTTTTCATTTTTTTATGTACTTCGATTACATTTAATACCACATGCCTGAAGCACACAGTTTCCTAAAATTTACGAGATGGGACTCTGGTACTGCAATCGCTCAGTCACCATAGGATAGATAGATAGATAGTACACAAATTTTCCTAGTATTCGTGCTTCCCGCTTCCAACGCCATTGTGGTTTTGCTCATTGCTGTGCTTTGGTTTAGTTTCGCATAATAAAAGAGCGGACCGTTGTGAACTTCGAGAGCCGGTTTGAATGGGCGAGCCTGAAATGTTAAGGTGGCGAAGTGCAACTGCTGAACATTTGTGATAGTCGTCTAGTACACAGGGCGACTCCAGGCCACATGAAGGCAAACGGCGCCAAAAGAACGAAGATTTGACAAATTCGTTAAAGCTATGCGAAAATTTCGGCTGCCAAAGCATTCAACTCCGCGCGTTTTCGGACACGAATTTCGTGGTTGCTGATGCTATAGTGCCGTGGTTTACTAGGTAAGCTCTGGCAAAGCTCCGTTTCAACGCCGTTTTGCCGGAACAAATCACAGAGGCGCTCTCGTGAGAGTCGAGTACGACCGTTCTCCGTATATAGGGCGTTGCGACGGGCTGTCCATGAAAGCATGCTAGCATCGCCATCGCATCATGCCTATAAAACAAAAAAAGAGAACCGTGTAAACCACAGCTGTCTCGTCGTTAGGCTACAAAAAGTTTTTTTGCATATTACTAAGCCTATAAATAAAGCATATTTTCATATATTTTCCTTTAAAAGCAGTCATATATTCGATGCGAAGCAGCTTTTTTACTAGCCTGTGTAACGCTGTCCCTCCGTACATCCCGACTGCGCATGCTCGCGTCTCGTGACGACCCAGGAAGACACCCGCAAAACTGTTGCTACCCTCCCCCTCGCTCGCCTCGCAAAGCCGATGCAGGCATCGTTTGTAGTAAAAAAAAAAATGACTGCTCACGCTTCAAAACCATTCACTGGCTACCACATATATGTAGGCACTGGATCGCGCGTTCGGAATTCAGTCAAGGGCGTCTTTATTTGGATTTCGCTTGATGAGCGCCCGCGTCAACGCCGCCGCCGTTGTAAGCGTTAGCGCCCGCTGCTTCGCATCTACACATGATTCCCTTTAGCGGTATAGATGATCCAAGTTTTAATCCGTGCGAACGCAACGACAACAAAAAATAAAAAAAAAACTCGCTCGCCTTCACGGGATCGGTGTAATAAACAGATCGCCTGTGGTATCATTGGTCATGGAGGGAGACCATACGTACTTTTGCCTCGGCTGTTTTTCTAGTCACATTGTCCATCCAGTCCCGCGTCTGCAGAGATTTATTGAACGCGACCGTGATCCTTTTCGCGAGATCTTCAACCTGAAACAAAGATGGTGTTACCAGTTAAACAACAGGGCGTTCCATTGTGCTTGCACGTACTTGTAGTTGTGGCATCGACACTGACTTCCGCTTGTTTACACCCATCCTTAGACAAACCCAATGCCACCAAGGTCATGCATGTATTGGGGGCAAAGCACCTCAAGGACGAGGCTTGTCCGGCGTCCGTTCTCCCGGCTACAATATATGGGGGCGACGCCCGGGATGACGTATGGTGATGTGAGACACACACAGAACAGGTTTAACAATATACTAATACCAATCATAATTATAATAGAACTACATAAAACACGTAGGAGCACAAAGCCTTTATTCCAGTCGGTTACTTCAATGTAGACATTATGGGTATTAGGGCCTAGCTTTGTCATCGACTCTTTGTCACTCGATCTACATTACGTAGGGCATCGCTCACTAAAAATTGTTAACCACTCAAAATTGTGAACCACTTCTTCCACAAAAAAAAAATGCAAGTTACCCAAACTCACCACCTAGTTAGATGGTGAATAGGGCTGACTCGATTGGTTAGTCATTTGCTATGTTATTAGTAACCCCGCAAATAGAGGTTTACGCATATTCCGTTTATGTGCGTGTGCGTAGCCACATCAAGATGATACTGTTCCAAAAGAACAGGATAAAAAAAAAACGAAGCGACATTGTCCCCGTACCATAATAATTGGCTGCTAGCTAGTTCATGTAACTCTACCGTTGCAAGTGCGAATCACAGCAACACACTTATAGAAACACTTATCACAGCAATACTTATATGGTCACATACTTATATGGTCACATATATATACAAAACTTCAAAACTTCGACATAGCAGATTTCTACTGTAGCCAACAGCTTGAAGACCCCTACACCAGGATAGTACAGCTTGTACTCGTTATAGCAGCCATGAAACTTAGAACAACAATTGACGATTTCTGCACATAATCGTGTGCATTTAAATTTACTTATATATGTGTTCTTACGTAGCACGAAAATTCTGATCCAAAGTAGTCAACAAAGTTAAAGCCTGCCAAAAGTTTTCTTACGACTCTCACCATTACGACGAAATATACTGCGTCAGCTACGATAGATCTGGCAATACTAGTTACTTAGTTGAAAACGCCAAGAAGGCTTCTTTGGTTAGTAACGGCAGAAGTTGCAAGCTTTACTAGCTGCTGGATAGTAAAAATATGCCGCGAAGGTAGTAAAGCAAGCTGGAAACAAGTAAACACACACGTTTGCTATCTAATTACTAACTTTTTTTTTCTAAGAGTGCATGATTCGTGATCTAAAGCACACTGCTTCGCCCCATCGTCAGCATTCACTTCGCATACATGCGTGATTTTCTTTTTCTTTTTTTTTCTCTCTTCGTCATCATCATCATCAGCCTGACTACGTCCACTGCAGGACAAAGGCCTCTCCCATGTTCAGCCAGTTAACCCGGTCATGAGCTTGCTGCTGCCAGTTTATACCCGCAAACTTCTTAATCTCATCTGCCCACCTAACCTTCTGTCTCCCCCTAACCCGCTTCCCTTTTCTTGGAATCCAGTCAGTTACCCTTAATGACCAGCGGTTATCCTGTGTACGTACTACATGCCCAGCCCATGTCCATTTCTTCTTGATTTCAGCTATGATATCCTTAACCCCCGTTTGTTCCCTAATCCACTCTGTTCTCTTGTCTCTTAAGGTTACAGCTACCATTTTTCTTTCCATTGCTCGCTGCGTCGTCCTCAATTTAAGCTGAACCCTCTTTGTAAGTCTCCAGGTTTCTGCTCCGTAGCTAAGTACCGGCAAGATACAGCTGTTATATACCTTCCTCTTGAATGATAGTGGCAATCTACCTGTCATAATTTGAGAGTGCTTGCCGAATGTGCAAGCACTTTCTCTTGTGTTTCCCTAAACTGAGATATAAAAGAAAGTATGCCGACATCGCTCCTGCTGAACAACAATGCGTGTTACCTCTTCCTTGGCCTCGTGGCTAAACTTGTGCAGCACGTACAGGTAGCCCACACCGTCAGGGATCCCGCCGTTGACCGCGTCGACGCATATTTCCCACCTGGGCCGCTCTTCGCGTACTCCCCGTCTCGCTTTTCGAAGCTCGAAGGAGGCGTTTCGGTACGCCTTCGACCCGACGTCGGCCCAGCTCAGCATGCGTCGCAGACCGGCGTAGTTGTACACCGTGTACCTGGGAAAACGTTTAGGTGATGATGCACCTTTTTAGTTTGCCAGTGTGGAAGAAACGTCGAGCAGCATTCTCCGTGTTATATACGGCACTCTTTTTTTGTGCTTTTGTTTACGTACTCCAATTTTTGTACGCTGCCACTGCTTCCTCAACTGTAACAAGCTGGGAAGCCTAGCCAAGCTTACAGGAGCTTTTTCTTCCCATGGCCTCTACTTGCTGAAGGGGAAAATTTATTTATTTATTTATTTATTTATATATATATTACGTGCTCGCTTCACTGAACTACTTGTATTAAGAGAGGTGGAAGAGGAGCATAGAACTACTTAATTCTTGGCCATTTCCCCACAGTGAGTGCGCTCCACAGTTAATAGGTGCACAACAAGAAGAACAACGACATCAACATGGAAGAACATCTTGCAGCATTGTACAGAACTAGGCACTACAAAGAAATGTCATTTTTCGTTATTATGCATGCAGGCATAAAATTTCGCTCCATCCGGCTGTGTTCATAGTGAGGAACCCCTGTTGTAATATGAGCTATCCCTCAATTTTTTGACATGTGTACACTTAAAATCAAACTTGTCTAAACCGGCCAGCCGTTCGTTGCACCCTTTTTTTTCTTTTTTTTTCTAAAAAAAAGTTACGGGAAAGACGCCTGAATGGTACGTACTTCTACCACGTGCGAAATGCTTATGTACGAATATAGCATGAACGAAAGTTTGTGGCTAGCGCTCAGAGGTCCTGAGCAGGCATAATACGTACTTTTAGTCCTTTCCCAGTTGTTAAAATCATGATCAGCATGGCTTCCTCAAGGGCTTTTGACTCTACTTGTCCTAATTATGGTGAGGTTGGTGACTTTGCACATATGCTGGGGTGGTGCCCCTCGTTACGGGTCCCAAGTCGGGTCAGAGGAGAGGATTGAAATTTCGCCATACGAAGTTCAATGTTGCTACCACAACTACAGGCTGTCCGGAGAGTCCACTATGCGGCGGGTTGCTCTAAAAGAGTAGCGTTTCTCAGGACCCAATAAAGTTCTGTGTCTGCCTATCTGTCTGTCGCCTGCCTTGCGTTTCACTATAAACGCCTGATTTGTAGTGTATGTTATACGCTTCCATATAGTTCGTGTTTTTAAGCCACTTTACAGCTATGTTCAAGCCTATCGTGTTTCAGCCTATCATTGATCACTACTAACGCCACATCAAAAGGCATGAGAGTCTATGACGGCCAAACTTAGCCCTTGCGCGTTAAAACTCACTAATCATCATCAGTCATCATAAACATTAATGTAATCATTTCTACATTGTCACATCACATGAGACAGTTGCATACATCTGCAGAAAATGAACTGAATGAAACAGGCGTAAAATTGAATAAGCTCGTTTCTGTGCATTGGCGCATGACTTCTCACACGCCAATCTAGATAAATTATTATAATACGTTAAAAAACAAACAAACAATACACGCTTGTTCTTGAGATGCCACTGTTACTTTGATTGCTTGATCACTTACGGGTCGGCACATCGTAGAAATTCGTTGAGTTTCGTGTAATAGTCCAGAGCGAAAAGTTCTATAGTCTCGTTACGAGCTAATGTAATGTTCGCTTGACAAAACTCTTTCTGTAATAATGCGCGAATGGGTATCTGCAAAAAAAAAACGAAAATAATTTATGTCACTATGATTGTCAATATGTGCTATCTTAATTTTGTTATATAAAAAAGAATGCTCTATAAAAAAATATTAGGATATGATATTTGGCAATTAGGAAGCGCTGGAGATTCACATGATGCTTACGTGAGAAAAGTTTTTTTCCAATTCGTCCATAGTGACCCGGTTATACATTTCTAATATGTTTCTCATTTCTTCGGGAGGTTTCGTCATCTGAAAGGGGCAACAGTTTACTTACTATGAGTAAATAGCCACGGAGAGCGCATGTTCAAAGTTGTTTCCACGGAAACTGATTTATGGATGTAAATACATTAATAATTTTTATAGTAGAACGATTTGCTCAGAAACGAGTACAAAAACCAGACTTTAGATAAAAATACGTCGACAGGCAGCAATATTCATTACAACAGTTAAAGAACATATTATTACATGAAAGACAAAAAAGAGCTTACATTGGCCAGCTGTCCCTCGAATGCCAAAAGCTCGCCTGCAAGTTTTTCGAGTTCTTCGTCGCACAGGTGAGGCTTCATGAACTTCATTGACACTTTAATCAGCTTCTTGTAGGCAGCGATGATCGCCTTGCTGCTGTTGCTGGTTTGATTGATGAGCTGATTTCTACCCACCATCGGAAACGACAGCTGATCGATCTGAAAAGGTGAACGAAGGAGAACGCGTTTCAGAAATTTTCAAATTATCTGATGAACTCCGTGCTGATGAGTTATTTTGATGATGCTTGTAACTATACGCAGTTTCCATTATCTATCTTTGTCTTGTATGTGCTTGAATTCTTACTTATACATTTTTAGTTGACTTATGTTGCCTTCCTGATTTGCGCATCTGACACTTGTTTCTTTATTTTGTCTCTTTTTTCTTGTGTGTTATAAATGTTGTACCCACCCCCTCTGTAATGCCCTACGGGCCCTGAGGGTATTCTAATAAATAAATAAATAAATAAATAATACACAAAGAAGAAGGTAAAAGTATGAGCTAGTTTATGTTCGAACGGCGAAATGCTGTTAAGAGTTGGCAGTGCAGTAAACAGGTACGAAGCAAAAACCACACCCTTATTGGCCCTTTTCATTGCAGTAAGAATTGGGGTATAATTCAATTAGTGATTTGTGCGCACGTTAAAGAACCCCAGGTGGTCGAAATTTCCAGAGCTCTCCACTACGGGGTGTTCGAATCCCGGCTGCGGCGGCTGCATTTCCGATGGAGGCGGAAATGTTGTAGGCCCGTGTGCTCAGATTTGGATGCACGTTAAAGAACCCCAGGTGGTCTAAATTTCCGCAGCCCTCCGCTACGGCGTCTCTCATAATCATATCGTGGTTTTGGGATCTTAGACCCCACATATCAATCAATCAAGCTCTCCACTACGGCGTCTCTCATAATCATATGGTGGTTTTGGGACGTTAAACCCCACATATAAATCAATCAATCAATCAATAATTCAATTAGCCCGTGCAGTATTACTGATGAACGCACAACCAAGAACGAAAACACATTTCGCGACCACCGCGAGCACTGTTCCTCCCTAGGCGGACACGATGAAGAGTTCGAACGGTCAAGTTCTCGTGGAAATATTCGTCATGACAGACGCCTTTCGCGCATCGACCGATAGGCCAGAAAGCTTTTGCCGCTGGGATTATCTCACGTCGAAGGCACCGTGCGTCACAATTATGGGGAAGGAGCTTATACACCTGTGGTAGAGTGAACGAGGCAGATGCATAACCTTTTTCGCCCGCATAAAGCACGTCTGTGTGCTTTACGTAGAAGTACGTACTAGAGTAACTATATCGCCCCCTTCCCGCGAAGCGGCCTTAACGTGACACCGAGCTGGAACCGCTGGAAATGTTGCCAGTGAACCGAGTCTGTCTTCGCGCTTATCGCAAACGTAAGCGCGCTTTAAGATGCTCAAGACAGTGGCCGTCATCTCCTCCGAAGTTAACACCCCCCCACTCTCCTTTCATTGTGTGGTGTAGTTGTCAACACCGTTGGACATCTCGACCATACTCCCTATCGCATGTTTCGAGAGGCACACCTCTCCTTTTCTGGTGGGCGGAGTATTAAGAGGACAATAGATTGGTGGGAGCTGCCGTCTCCCTCTCTGTTAGCGGGCGCGGGGCTCTAAAAGCTGAAGGTGTCTGTAGAGAGATGTGACATACGGAGTGAAATGTCGACTCAAGCGATCCGTATTGTAAACGTATGTTCTTACGAGAACGCGTTCTCCTCACCGGAAAACATCGGCTGTGTGGACAACGACAGGAGGGGCCACCTACCGAAGCGACACTCGCCGTAACCCACACCTTACAACACGCATCTCTTTCTTCTCATGCTAGCAAGCAATGACGAATGCTTGCGTGTTTTGATATTGTCGATGCTTCTTCAGTGATGAAGGAAGTGTATTCTACGGCTTGATTGATTGATATGTAGGGTTTAACGTCCCAAAACCACCATATGATTATGAGAGATGCCGTAGTGGAGGGCTCCGGAAATTTAGACCACCTGGGGTTCATTAACGTGCACCCAAATCTGAGCACACGGGCCTACAACATTTCCGCCTCCATCGGAAATGCAGCCGCCGCTGGTGGGAATCGAGCCCGCGACCTGCGGGTCAGCAGCCGAGTACCTTAGCCACTAGACCACCGCTGCGGGGAGATTCTACGGCTTCCATCTAACCTGTGACGCTCTGTTGTAAATGTGTCTAGTGCTAATCTTCCGTGCGATATGGCGGGCTGAGCACATGACTTCCTGAATGTTTAAACAAGTATATGTCACGTTAACGTGAAAGGCTTAGATACTTCATCAGACGTGATAACTGACCGTCGGCGTCGTCGGCGTCAGCGCGAGTGAATAACAAATAAACACGCGATGAAGTCGTGGAGACGTCACACATCGCTATAATTTCCGACGCCATAATGACGAAATTTCACATGACGTCACGTCATGACGCCATCACGTGACATTGTCGTCGCTTTGTTTAAGATGGGGTGGTTCACCGAAGCTGTAAAAAACGGTGTTGTGGAAGGGAAAGCACGAAACGTGGCTTTGACGGAAAATTGACCGCCGATGGTCAAGAACCACGTTTGATGGAGAAAGCTTTCGAAGGTGGGACCGATACATCAATTAAAACGAATAATAATAATAATTATAATAATAATAATAATAATAGTAATAATAATAATAATAACATATCTTTTCGCATTTCAGTTGCCAGGTGAATCCATGAGAAGTCATGTGCGTTTTTGTTTTCTTTAGTGTCATTTCCATGGTTACCTGAATGACGTAAGCGCTGAGATTTCGCGAATCCCTTCCCACGCCAGCCGCAAGAACGGTCGAACTTTTCGTCTTGCTCAGGACGGCTGTTGCGTTCGGGGCGTCCTTCTCCACGCATCCCTGTGGGCGTATTTTCGGCCACTCGGCAAGTCCAGAAGCGTTCATTATATCGAGGACGACGTCGCGTCGATCCTCGAGATCCGGAACAGCTGTAACAGAGGAAACGGCGTAAATGTAGAGCCGCTGCATGCCGGGAAGTTCAAACCGGGTTCCCCTTCCCCCCACCAAAAAAAAAAAAAAAACGCGACTGAGAGAAGAAAAAGTCGGAGTGACAGTCATGCGATGATGAACGTATACGTAGATTTTTGCTCCCTTCTAATCCCCCCCCACCCCCTCCTTGGCATAGCTCCGCGCGCTTTCTTGGATGACAGGAAAGAGAAAAAACTCTTTCGAAGTGTGACAAATCCCTGTAAGCCCGCCTGTACTTGGTCTACATTCGTAAAGGTAGGGAGTGCAAACAAGGACGCAAAAAGGAAGTCAGCACTCCACACATTGAAATCAAATCAAATCAAATCAAATCAAAGCTTTATATTTGCATAGCGTGGTTACAGCGTGAACCATATACAGAAGAGGGTTCCAAGGTCAGGGAACCGTACCGAGGCCTCTGTATAGAATGACCGAATTCAAGCTATCAAATACGCATAAAACTGTACAAATATCTAAGTCAACAACAACAAAAAAATCGCCGCCCAACCACTCCGTACGAATGGCGAACTAGCGATAGCTGAAACGTTTGGTCCCGGTGTTTATCAGTGGGTTCAACCCGACGCTGCATTGAAGCCTTTCACAATTGCTGCTTACATGTTCGTGCTTCCAAATTAAGTTATTGACACGCGTTTGGCTTGAGTTTACCATAGTGTTTGTTTCACATGTCGCACATTGTGCGTCGCATGATCACGGTCACGAAAGAGTGTATAGAAGGGTTAAATACGTTTCGCAATGCGTTGATCACAGTGGTTGTTTTCGAACCGTATCGAACTTTCCAGCCTTATTGTTGGTGGTTGCATAAGCTCTGGAATAAGCTCGACTTTTCACGTGTCGCGCTCGATATAACAAAGTGATCCACTACGATCGTGAGGCTTTTCGAACACACAGGAGCGGTTGGCGACAAACAATTGCTGGCACTGTGTGTGGGTGTAAAGCGAATACAGCGAAATTGAAACAAGAAACGCGCGTGGCATTATTCGGAGAAAATTTTTGGCGAGTTTCTTAATAAGGTGTCTTGAAGATTCACTCACCCACACATGCGTTGTAGACCAGTACAACTTTGTCTGTCACATTTTGGTTCTCTTCAACGAGGCTCATGTTTCCCAGAATGTCTGATTTGACCCAGTCCGATGGCACCATTTATGGAGTAGTTTAAACATAAGAGGAAGAAGTAATGTATTAAATATCTGACCTTACCATAACACGTATAAAAATATAGTGGCATTCAATTTCATTTGTGGTATACCCGCGTATTGGTTTCTGATTTCTGATTACAGTGAAGAGTAATTAGGTTTCATGCACATGTGTGCATAAAACCTAATTACTCCTTACCTAATTACTCTTTACTTAATTACTCTTCACTTAAATACTCTTCATAAAACTTGGAAATGTAATGGAAATATAATGGAACTATAATGGAAATATAAAACGTATAGATATATAATGGCATTCAATTTAATTTGTGGTACCCAACGTAATGGTTTCTGATTTCTGATTACAGTAAAGAGTAATTAGGTTTCATGCACATGTGTGCATAAAACCTAATTACTCTTTACTTAATTACTCTTTACTTAATTACTCTTTACTTAAATACTCTTTATAAAACCTGGAAATATAATGGAAATATAATGGAAATATAATGGAAATATAACACGTATAGAAATATAATGGCATTCAATTTCATTTGTGGTACCCCCACGTAATGGTTTCTGATTTCTGATTACAGTCAAGAGTAATTAGGTTTCATGCACATGTGTGCATAAAACCTAATTACTCTTTACCTAATAACTATTTACTTAATAAATATTCACTTAATTACTCTTTACTTAATTACTCTTCACTTAAATACTCTTCATGAAACCTGGAACGTCAATTCACCTACACCTCGTCGTCCACCTTGGTTGCACGGTGGTTGCGGTGCTCAGCTGCTGACCCAAAGGTCGCGGGTTCGATACCGGCGGTCGCATTTTGATTTAGGCGAAGTGCTAGAGGCCCGTGTACGGTGCGTTGTCAGCGCACGTCAAAGAACGCCAGATGCTCGAAATTCCCGGAGACCTCCACTACTGCGTCTCTCATAATCACATCGTGGATTTGGGACATAGACCGTATGATCAAGAGTGTCATCGTAACTCGCGCAAGTAAAAAAACTCCCAAGCATTTCCCCGAGGGTGAACATGGTTAAGTGCGAATACACGGGGTGATGCTATGAGGGGTATTTATTAATTCGCACTATTATATTTATTAATCACAATATGGTGCCTTTATGGTGTAATGGTTCCTGGGAATCGCAATTCGATCACACGGGGGAGTTTACGTTAACTCACTGGCGAATGCCAACGGATTTTCACTTTACTCCCCCTCACGACCCGCTCTCGACGGGAGACTGAGAGAGAAGGCGGGCGCGCGAGAGACAGGGGTGCGCGCGCAGCTGCAGCGATCGAGGAGAGCGGAGGAGCGAGCGAAGGGAAGGGGGTATAAGGCGCGTTACTGACACCGATATCAGCGTCGCGTCCGTGGCTTATTCGGTAGAGCGTCGCGCTGCGGCCCGCCAAGTCCTCTTTCTTTTAAAGATGGAGAGAAGACTGCGGATGCCGCCGACGGCGGTGGATGGTTTGGGGTCGCTTATAAAGTGTATTCACACTTAAAATGCACTACAGCTGCGCACTGCGTCGTACGTGCCTTCGGACGTTCCGGAAACTGTAACTCGGTGACGTACCTCGAAGCGTCGCCCTCAGTTCGTCGTTTAAAATGGAGAAAGTCCCCAGAGTTGGCTTGGTCTTTGGTATCGCATGTTTGGCCATCCACCCACCGCAAGCGTAAGCGTAGAAATCGGTGCACGGGTCAACGGACGTGTTCAAATAACCGTTGATCAGTTTGGCTGCGGCGAAAGAAAAAAAAAGAAGCACATATTACTACAGAAGTAAGGGTGTGCGAGTATTTAGGCGTTTCGAACATACGAACGAATATTTCAGTACTTGAATTCGCTTTGGAGAGAGTCCGCCCCACCGTGGTGGTCTAGTGGCTAAGGTGGCTGCTGACCCACAGGACGCGGGATCGAATCCTGACTGCGGCGGCTGCATTTCCGATGGAGGCGGAAATGTTGTAGGCCCGTGTGCTCAGATTTGGGTGCACGCTAAAGAACCACAAGTGGTCGAAATTTCCGGGGCCCTTAACTATGGTGTCTCTCCTAATCATATGGTGGTTTTGGGACGTTAAACCTCACATATCAATCAATATTTGGTGAGAATCCAGATTATTCAAAGTTTCAAAGTATTTGAAAGGGACGATGATGTATATTCTAGCCCGTACACCCCCTGTAAATGTGGTTGTGCTGCAGCGTAGTTTTGATTTGCTGTGAAACGCTTTTGTCATAAAAAAATCGTATTTGTTTGTAGCCACACGTCAAGTTTAGTAGCGCTAATTAGCCTCACCTCAACTAATTTTTTAAGATTTAAAAACGTTTTGTACGGGCGTTTTAAAACGCTGCCTAAAGTACCAGCTATAACGTGCACTCTTATGTTGTGCTGTAAACGGGCCACATTTCCGTGCCCGGCCCGGGTCCGCTGACCACGTCGAAGGCCCGCTCCAGCCCGACGCTAAAGTGCTGCGAGCCCGTCTATCCCGATTCGGTTCGATATTGGGGAGGCTAAATCAGACAAATAGGATGTCGTTTTCCGATAATGTGCCATTGTATGGGACATATCGAAATGAAACATGGGCAGACCACACCTGACGTTCGCAGAGAGGGCCCTACGTGGTGGAAAAGCAATGCTGGCACAGCGTCTCTATTTCGAGCTTGATTAGGGCTTTGCAGCCGATCCGGCCGATGAAAATCGATGCACACTGAGGCCGGCCCGGGCCCGAGACGAAAAGGCGTCGACCTACCCGGCCTGCAGTCCGGACTCTGGCTTTCGACCTACTCGGAGCCTTTGCACACCTCTAATACAAATCTGTCTACTATTCAAAGTTGCTGTTTACTATTCAAAACTGCAAAAGTAGCATTCACACGCGCTTAGTTTCAATTCTTGAGAAAACAAAATTATGCAACCTAGTTGTTGAGTCGCGCAAGAAATACTTATTTATCGTAACAATATGTGGTATTCATTATAACAGTTCCACCCCTTCGATTCAAAATTATAGGGAGAAATCACTATTCGGTACGAATTAGCCTCGAACCTCAAACTATTCGCTCATTTCCAAAGAAAAGGCATTCCGCGTTTGTTTCAAGATCGTTCAATAACTGTAAAAGCACACTCTTATAGCGGAGCTGATATAGCCACGGAGCCTCCTTGTCACTCCGGCTGACGTGGTTATCGCACTCACGCAATCGTAGCCGCAAGTGCCTCGAAAAACGCCGCTCCCGCTCCCATTCTCGCGTTCAAGGGATTTATCCTCGCCTTACTACGAGGTCGACTTGGCGCGTTCTTCGGTGGCGAGAGTTTCAAAAAATTGCAGTAAATCTATAGCGATGTAATCGTGCCATTCGAATTCCGTTAATCGAGCGTGAAATTACGGCATACAAGAAGAAACCTTACCACGCTGGACGCAGACAGCCGTATCACAGACATTATAGGGTTCTGAAAAAAAAAACATAAAGCAGTACCAAACAGTAAACCCATGCTTCCACGAAGTGCGACTAGAATTGTTGTGACAATCTCGAAAACTGCAGTTTTTTTTTATGTCTTGTTATATCAACGATGCAAAAGCGTTCAAGGAGCATCTGAACGATCTACCGCTAATTTCGGATGGAGCTTAAAACTTCACTACTGCCACGTATTTCGTTACCTTAGCGCACAAACACAGCATGGTATTGTTGGTCAACTAAGATTTTTCACTGGTCAGTGTGCAGAGTTTCGTGGAAAGTGTCTAACTCTCAAGCAACGTTCAAATCAATATTGGCGCAATTCGTTATAACGCGTAGTAAATGTAGTAAAACATTCGTTTAGTAACCAGCAGTAAAACGTCAGTAACACGTAGTAAAAGTGTCAGTGGTCAGTGAAGGTTGCAGTCACTACCTCTTTCTCTCTCTCTGTCTTTGTGTGTTTAACTATCGTTTACTACACATTGGCGATGTAAACGTCGAGATATTTGGTCAACTAGCTTCTCGCATGAAATAATAGCGGCGCCTGGCGACAGTGGTGTTATGGCAAACGATGGAAGGTGACATTCGGTAAACTTACTTTTATTTTCAATAGTTTTTGTTGAAGTCGAAAAAATAAGGCGTCCCCATACTAACAGGAACCCCAATACTGCAACGCTTTGGACTTGCATGGTTTCACCTAGAAGTAGTGAGAACAATTGTTATCGAGAACATTGCGTTTTAGTGCATGGTTAATTTACATTTGTTTCCACGATACAAAATCTTTCGAGGGTAATACAATACACTTTTTGATGAGCGTATGAATTTTATTACACGCAAGAGCCCGATGCGAACCACTCGAAATTTGAGTCAGTCCTGTAAGTAATAAACTAAAACATAGAACACAATCCGTGGTTTGATCTATCGTGTATTAGTGTATCTAGGGTTGTGTTGGTGGATTGGTGTATCTATCTAAGGTGCATCTAGGGTTGAAGCCGTGCAATTATTTCAGAAGCAGGGGTCCAGTGGTTTCACTGGGATTCCGGAAAGACAAGTGGGTATCGTATATATATATATATATATATATATATATATATATATATATATATATATATATATATATATATATATATATATATATATATATATATATATATATATATATATATATATTGTAGTGAAGAAGTTGAGTGCTACTCAGAAAGGCAGGGGGTATGACTCAGTCGGTAAAGAAGACGACGTTTGGTTGGCTGGGTACTCAGGCTAGTTCCGCCATTACCGCTTGACGTGTCGTGACCGCTCTCCTGTTTTATAAAAGAGTGCAACTCTAAAACGCCTCATTATAATTGGTGTAGAGTGCTGGGTAACGCCTAATCCTGGAATTGCGAAACCGTACGTTGCCTCCAGTTGCTACGATGTCCACGGACGACGATCAGCAGGTGGCCGCCTCGGCTCCAACTACTGCAGCTCCTGTCTGTCTCGGCTCCTTTCGGCAACGCGATCCGCCTACCTTCAGTGGAGCCGATGACAAAGACGTGGAAGACTGGCTCGACGATTACGACCGGGTGAGCAAGCACAACAAGTGGGACGATGCGCACAAGCTTACTGTCGTCCAATTTTATTTGACCGACGTCGCCACTCTGTGGTACCGTAATCACGAGAGAGACCTCCCCACCTGGTCGGCCTTCCGAACGGCGTTTGCGGACTTGTTTGGCCGTCCAGCGCTTCGAAAACTACGGGCCGAACAGCGCTTGCGTACTAGGGCTCAGCAGAATGGTGAGAATCACACCGGTTATATCGAAGTGTGGTCAACCTTTGCCGGGGTGTCAACTCTGCCATGACAGAAGCCGAGAAGATCAAACACATCTTGAAAGGCGTGACTGACGACGCATTTTAGATGCTTGTCGCGAAAAGCCCGCAAACGGTAGCAGAAGTGATCCAACTTTGTCAGAGCTATGATGAGCTCTGGAAACAGCGTGGCACCACTCGTCGTGCCAGTGTGCCATGTGCAAGAATCTCCGCTTTAACGTCGGCTGGCACTGCTATAGACCACACCACTTTGCTTCTCGAGATCAAGCAATTTGTACGAGAGGAGGTCGCACGCCAGTTGTTCCTCGTGCCTTATACCTCCGAAGGTGCCCCGTCCACTTTAGCGCCATCAATACAGCGAGTAGTCCAGGAGCAAGTGTCCGAGGCGCTAACAACAGCTCACGCATCACCTGTGGCTGCTCCATTGGCCTATACCGAAGCACTGAACGGAACCCGACGTCCGCCTGTCACGAACGGCCACGTTTCTTTGTCGCGAACGCCTACGTCCACGCGCCTCTTTGTCGTGCCGACTGAGCCTGCGTACCAGGCTGCCCGTCCTTTCTCCCGACCACCACCTCCACGCTTTCAGAATCCTTGGCGCACTCAAGACAACCGCCCCATATGCTTCGCCTGTGGAATTTCGGGTCACGTGGCATGATTTTGTCGACGGCGCGAGTTTTTTTCTGCGTGGCGACGTCAGGCCCAACAATTACGATTTCCCACCGCGACCGGAGCCTGCTGTATATGGCGACACTGCCACCATGGACACATTTTCACCTCGCCGGAACTTCAACAGACACCGGTCGCCTTCACCTCAACGCCGTTCTCTCTCCCCTATGCTACGTCGACCTCGCCCTGTCCCTGAGGAAAACTAGGAGCCGCAGTTCCGGGGGCAAGAACTGCGGATCTTTCGAAGTCCAAAAGACCTTGTTTTTCGCCGTCCAACGTCATTGCTGTCTCCGTTGAAGGTATACCTGTTTTTGCATTGGTCGATACTGGCGCTGCAGTGTCTGTAATGACTGAAAAACTTTGCCGTCGACTAAAAAAAGTCACAATGCCTCTTCACGACTTTGTTTTGAGCACTGCGAGCGAGCAACGAATTCGCCCTTTTGCTGCATACACAGCACGTGTCGTTATTGCTGACAATATATATGTCGTCGAGTTTGTCGTGCTCCCGCAGTGTTCCCATGACATTATATTAGGCTGGGACTTTCTCTGCACTCATCATGCCGTCATCGACTGTGCTCGCGCCGAAGTGGAGTTCGCGCCGTTATGCGACGCTGCTTCACTCGACTCGTCCCTTTCACCTGCAAAAGTTTTCGTTGCCGCCGACACTTCAATACCCCCGTTCTCGTCCGCCCTAGTTCCGCTTTCCTGTGACGTCTCTAGTGGCTCAACTGTTCTTTTTACGCCTTCTGATACCGCTGCTCCACGCAAGTGTTTCCTGATTCCTTTCGCCGTTCTGAA